ACCTCTGCCGTTATGCAAGATGTCAGCATCACCATTGTTGTCTACGGAATTTGGATTTGTAAACATTCTCCGTAAATGGATCCATCTGACGAATACAGTTATATATATTAAGAGATCCCTTAAAATATGTAACCATTTTCACTAGATAGAAATACATTAGAGTAGCTTCCTTACCTATGTCGCCCTCCTTACAAAGTTATGACTAAGGATAGAACATCCACGACTCAGTAAAAAATAATATTATACTACGGCAAAATGTTTTAATTTGTTAGTAAAACAAAAGAGAAATTAATTTTTTTTTAAATTCAGATGTTATTCGGAGGTTTTTTGTGACAAAATAATTTTACTTTCGTTCGCCTGAGAATGCCAATGTCGCAGCTGACGATCGCGCGTTCATGATCGGGTTTTAAATTAAAAACTAGGTCAGCCGCGCCCCAAAATTAAACCCATTTAGATGTTTCGAGTAATATTTAACAAGTGATTAATTATCTTTTAAGTGATTAGATGTCAATAATGTACGGTAATTGGTAAGTAAGATTACGTGCAATAAATTTGTGGGTAGCATTTTATGTCGCGGGAAGATAACATTGCAAATCAAACAAAGAACTTTAACATACTTGCATTATTCAGGTAACTGTTTTATGAAGTACTAGCTGTCGCCCGCGACTCCGTCCACGCGGGGGGAAAAAAATAAAAGTTACTAAGAAGACATAGTTCTTCCAGACTATGTTCTACATTTATACCAAACTTCATCCAGATTCATGCAGCCGTACTTGATACCTTCAAACAAACATCCATCCATCTATCTAAACATTCGCATTTATAATATTAGTAAGATTGGAAGTTATAAGTTTTTCTCTTTTATTACTAGTCCATTTTAAGTATTTAGTTTGTTAATTTAATATATATTAATCATAAAAACTGTCGGCTTTTTTATTCTATGTTGATTATTTTGAACAGATGACTGATTTGACATTATCTATGTAATTAATAGTTTATTTGCGGTTTCACAATTAACAAGTCGATATCATTGAAGTGCTGATTGACGAAGGCTGTACTAAGTCCTGGAGGCTTGTTACAACATTTGTAATACAGGTTGAAGTTTAACCAGCCTAATGATTTGACCTCGAACTACATAAGTGGCGTGGTCGTGCGAGTTGTTTAAAATGAGATTGCACAGGCTATCAATGAAGGTTGTTTGCTGCTCAGATGCTCAATAATTCACATCACGGAGTCATAAATACATTCCTTAGATCGTGATTGTTTGCGTTTAATTATAGAGGACTTTGAAAGTTGCACCAACTTGGTGGTACTGGATATCAAGATATGATCTTGTGACAAAACTTAAAAGTATTACCGGATATTATAAAAGCGTTATATAGAATATTTTAAGTTAGAATTATAAACAATTAGGTATTTAAAGGTGAAATATACAAATCGGTGATAAATTTCATTTCATTCATTAAGTTTTGCACACCGTAACAACATAAAGGTTTAATGTTAAAGATCGAGCTTAGTTGTGAGCAGGTTAAAACTTGACGCTTTGAATGCCGAATAAAATTTTTATGTGTTGTATATCTGACTTACATTTAACACCGAAGTTTAGATGAGTGTATGGATGATTTGTTAGAAGATATCTTCATAGCGGCTTAATGGATATTAGTGAAATATGTCATAGTAGTCATCATAGTCATGATTTATTATTTTTTAAATCAGCGCGGACAAAGTTTCGGGCGAGTTGTATATTAGTTAGTTAGTAAATGTAATAAAATATTGCAAAAAATTAATTAACCCAAAAACTTCCTGATCTTGAAACACATTTTCAAAGATGAAGGCTGGCATTTGAAAGTAAATTAGTAACTAATTAATCTTAAGTTATACGATTAAGAGTAAAGGAAACAATTAACTGACTTTATTTATTTCTTATTATTTTCCTTTAATAAATTATAACGAATTGTCCAAAACAAATTCTTCTTTGAAGGCTTTTAACCACTTTCCGAACACATTTTAATCATTATTTGGATATTTTTTTCTTCTAAAACTCGCTAAAACGATATTAACTCTGAATTAAAAATATTCGTTCTACATATCATTAATTTTTGTCATTACTGGTTTCCAGTAAACTAAACAAAGTAACAATGACTAACATCCGTTTATTTGCCAACTTTTTCTGACATGTGCGGATACAGAACGACTTCTACTTACTTGACAATGATGGTTCCCATACAGTGTCGCAATGCCTTATGCGGCTCGGACAAGAATGTCGCTAATTCGTTCAAGTGCTGAGGACAAGATGCGTCACATATCTGTTAAAGATTGACATAACTATGTTAATTGTAATTTGTGGATCAATTAAGTAATTTTTTCACTTAGTTTTGCGAATAGTTTTATCACTATTGTACTTATTTGAAACCGATGTTAGTATTTGTTTTAGTTTTCTTTTTAAATTAAGATTTTAAATTATTCTTGCAGGATTATGGATTTCTATATACTGCAAAATAATACAAATATTTTAAGGCACAGTATATACTTACTTTAAAAATCTTATAGTGCGATATTTTTTCATGTAACTTATAAAAATCTTTGAACTAAAACGTGCAAACGCCGGTATTTCTCAACATCCTGTCAATCTTGATCGTGTCAATACCATATATTGATTGCTATGTTACGAATTATCGGATATATAAAACTATGCTATATATTATACTAGTTGTCGAATGCAGTAACTAACGTTACATTGGATCATTTCCAAATTATCTGCCGCACTTAGAAACGTTTAAGGATTACTTAAGCATACCCTTATTGTAGATGTATCATTCATAATTAACTAAAGGACTCCCTTAGTGACCAATAAAAAACTGTGAATAAGGCTTCGGTTATACTGTTCTCTTAAAAGGTTTAATATGATTCTTCAGTTTAAATTATCAGCACCGCTTCAGTGTAACAAACAATGATAAAAAATGAGTTTCAGTAATAAATTCAATACCACGAAATATTTGTAAAATTCATAACCGCAATCTGTTTCGCTCCAATAAATACGAAACAATTTGTAAATAAGATAATCAAAACGTTCTATTTTCTGTGATGTCCAAACATCGGAGAGAAGCAATTTTATTTATTTTCAACATTGTAATATAAATTAACACAAATGCTCACAACTTAGTTCATCACATTTCTTGTTATACATAATTAGAAATCACTATCTTATTCTTTATTAAAGTATAAAAGAACTAACTAAGATAAGCTAAAGCTATTGCCTGCCATCTACACGCTCATAAAATATAGTAGAACGACAACCTACCTACAACGTTTTCCCAAAAAAAAAGAACAAACAATTTCATTCATTGACTCAGGAATTATAATCGCGTGTTTATCGGTTGTAAATTCTTTACACAAACGCTCGAATGTTACGTGTGATATTCTAGAAATGGTAACAAAGCCCGGTCGCACCGATTTGACCCCACCGCGACGCTACAGATGAGAGGGCAGAGCACGTGATGAGCTTGTGAAAGGCATATTCGCATACATAACAGTGAAATCTTTTGACACAGACTATTTACTAACATATGGTCATTATAGATAAAAGCTTTGCATAACAAATCAATGTTTATTGCCTCTCACATGCCGGTTAACTAAATGGATTATCTTTAATCTTTTAGCAAATATATACAAATCGAAATATGTTTATAATGATTCTTAAATTGAATAATGTTTGACGTTACGATGCAAATAATGCTGATACTTATTTCTATCAAGCATCGTTAATGTCAATGGCAATACATTTTATTGTAATTTTATAAAATGTAATTCATATAAAAATCTGATAATATTATATTGATATGAATGTATGCCAAGTTTCAGTTTGAGTAAAAAAAAACTAAGGGCTTAACTTAGTATTTGAACCTTTATCTCATACGCTGATATAAGTCAACAGAAATCATGATTATTGAAATATGAATACTGCTTAATAAATATTAATTATTAAAGCATACTCTTTTGTAACCACGATGACGTCAGTAATATCAATTACCGACGGTCAAAGGGTTGAAATACGTGTTAAGCTCAACAGTATCTGACTGTATTTTTTGGATTAATGACTTTATAATATGAAGTCAATCTCTATAATTTATAAATGTTAACTTCCACATTAATTATAAAAATAGGGAAACGTCACTACTCTTCATATAAATTCATCACATGTCCCTCCACGTGTGCAAGTTGTTAACCAAAAAACAGTTTGGCAATTATTGGCCCATAACAATGGTAAACAAGGAAGTGACCAAAATAATTGTTCGATTACCAATTCCGACGACCCGTATTAAATTTGGCAATAGTTTTAAAAAATCAACATCATTTAGAACAGGCCGACAGTCGCTTGGGATGTAACTTGCATAAAAACCTTCAGAATTGCATCTGCGGTTACGAAAAAGACTAGTGTTGCATACCGCATTTTTATTTGAATAAAATAAATTGGAGTTTTTGGCGCACGCCGATGATTGCAACATCGCAAACGCAAGTACTTTACATGTTCTAATATTACATGTCTTTATTTTTAAAGGGATCAGGATTTAAATGAATTTAATGTTAACAACGTTATATTCATTTGTAGAAATATTTTTTTAGGTTTGTAGAATAAATTATGAAAATAGTGAATTAATTTAATTTATCTATTAGAAAGCTATGTAAGATTACTTACATAGTTTATGTAGATATTTATATACCTATTACTAAATATTATTTATTTATGAAATATATATAACATTATATTTTATCAAATGACCGTTGTCACGGTGTATACGACGATATTTTGCTAAGCAGCAATCACTTTTATGATAGTTTCATCATCTTATAGTATACCATTGAAAAGTAAATAGCCATGAAATCAGCACAAAAACAGTAGGGGAGGAAATTGGAATGTGCAATGAAGGCTGTAGCTAATACTTGGTGGTTGGGGCGCGTCACGTGCTAAACTTTCATGGCGCAGGCTTCGACGCGCTCGCCGCTACAAGCAACGTCAGTATAAGCGCGGACGCAGCACGGGCCGCACGCGTACATTATATCATATCGTATAAATGATGATATCAATAAATAAATCAATGAACTAAACTACTGTGAAGTGTTTCGATTTCAGTGATTCAGTGAATAGCAAGTGCACTGTGAGCTGGAACTGTGTTAAGATGATTGCAAGGTATTTTTTAAATTATTCCTGTTTTATGAAAAAAATAAAATAACGTAGTTTTTATTTTAAATATTACTAATGGATAATAAATAATTTTAGTTATTAAATAAAACACGCGTTGATGTCTTTTGTAGCGACACTGAAACTGCAGCGCTACGAACGTCTACATACGTTTGCGTAGCGATTACTTAATTCGCATTTACTAGAAAATATTAATAACCGAAAAATAATTTTCTGACAATAGTAAAAATGATGAAAGGTGAGGGAGCTAATTTATGAAAAGAATACAATTATTTCATAAATTTATTGAATATTTATAGACATACATATATACAAGTTAAAATTTAGATGTTCTACTGTAAAGTTTGTGTAGGTTACTATGTTTTACTCTATATACATAAGTCATAAGTTTTGTATACTCATTACTTACCTGATCATATACAAATACACTTTCACGATTTATACTCAGGTAAAAATTATTACTTAAAATAATAAGATCAGACTTACCCGATCTTGTATCAAACAGTATTATTTGTAAACAAAGCTATATATCAAAACTGCTTTCACTTTTACGGATACTTTTATCTTTAAGAGCAGCATTCCTTTCGAATGTTTCAACTTGCACAAAATACACTTAAAATAAATATATATGTATTTTTATTATTATATAAAAACGTCAACAAATTATGTAAGCATGAACATTCAAGAAAAATCTTTAAGCGCGAAACTAAAGTTTATTGCTAAGTTGTTACTAAGATACTCTAATAGATTAGAAGCAAAATGATTCATTTCAATTTTATGGAAAAGCCGAATTCTTCAACGTTGTGGGTGGTAGAGAATGTCTACGCAACAATATTTTATTCAGTTGTGATGCATCTCATTATACAGGATGACCCAATTTCACTTCCGTTCAGTTATTTTTAGACATCGGCGTTTTTAACTTTCAAATATTTTTTGTGCGTAGCGGACTAATTATTAAATATACATTTTAGTAATATGTTTTTTATGAAATAGACTTTTTTAACTTTGCTACATTTTTTTTATAAAATGAGAGTAAATAGCAAACCGTTTGATAAATTTAAAATTAAATGCAATCGAAGTTATTTAAGTATTTGGTCAGTAAAAAAAGTTGCGGCGACATTTAGTGCAGTACATTATGCGGGCCTGCATTTAGATAAGCCAATCGTTTCCATACATAGCTCACTGTTACATAACAAGACTTAAATATTAATTGCTTTATCGCAATTAAATTGTGTAATGCAATATTTATAATGCTGCCCAATTAAACACAAATTTATAACTGTGTTTACTGCTATGTACAGGAGTACTTACTTTATAAAATATTAATCGGAATATTCCATTTTAAGAGCACACAAGTGTAATATTGATTTACGAGTATGTTATGTTAAAAGACCATGTTTGACGTAGTTTTTTTAAAAATGTTTGAATGTGTCTTATTTCATTATTATATCATGTTAGGTTTAAACCATATGGTTTAACATGAACCATTTCTGAATTCCTGACAACGTTCACGAGGTCATTGAACTTTTATGGTGGTCATTATTATACACTCCTGATGCTTAACATAAGAGAAACATTCCGAAGAAATTAATGACAAAATATTGTTAAAATATTATAAAAGACCATAAATAAAAAATTATAAGATAAAATAGTAAATTGTTAATTGTGATGCACTAAGGAAGTTGTTGATGACATAATTTGGCGCATCAACAAATTTTAACGTTGCATAATACATCATTGAAATTGTTGCTTTCATTAAAGTTTAAATTTAGAAAAGGTTGGCAAAGGAAAGGACACTAAAATTAGGCTTCAGACACAGTTATCAGACGAAATACAGAGTTAGTTCCACTTGTCGCCCGTCTTCCATGTGGTCGTGGTGTTTCACTAGACGAGCCGACTCATTCGTGCAACAGTAGTTTTGTTGCTGGCGACCATGATAAAATCTTTTGAAACCTTAATATTGATTGCAATTTTGATTAATTATTTTATAGATTTTCATGTGCATAATGTACAAAGCAAATATAGTTTCAATCTTTTTAATGCAATCTTTACAATGTAATGCGCCTCGGTTCTTTTTCTTGATGCCCTTAAAATCAGTGCAATAGACTAACCGTGATATTCCAAATTGTTTTCTTAGTATTCGTGTCATTAATGCGACATAAATCCAAATACAAAGTTGAAGTGTTTAAGTAAAAAACTGGTCAGTGTAAGATCAGGTGATCGACGGTAAAAAGTCTTTAAAGCTATTTTAATTACATACACCGGTCAATAGTTAGCTCTGTAGGTCGATAAAGTACTCCATATGGTGAAATCGACAACTAGTTCTAATAGAAACGCTATAAATTCGTCACTTACTCAACTAACATGATTTTTTTTTGTGACTAACAGGTGCGGTGTTGTATTGTTTTTAATTTCAAACAAAATGAGTTATCGATGTTTTGGAAAAGAAAATAAAATTGCTTGATTCGTGAATTTTAATCTTAATGTTTGAAACTATTGTATAATAATATTAACTTTAAAAAACTAAAAAGCCCTAAAAAGACTAGAATATAAAAAAAAACGTGGCTGTTCAAGTTTTTATTATAATTTAGTTACCATGTATAGTATTACCAACATTCCAAATACATGCATGTTGAATATTAGTAATAATTTAACATTAAATATTGAAAATCTGAAAAACTTAATAAACAATTAGGGTCGGCTTTGATTAAAGTGAAGAGTGAAAGGACAAAAAACATATTAACGATGGCATTTACTTAGCGAGGTTACAAAGTACTTAACGCTCACATCTAACGGAAATCAATATATTAAACGAAGGTACTCTAAGCATTTATTACGTACATCCTGTTATGTTTACTGTTTAAGTAATTTATAAGTGAACGAAATACTGAAGGCTTAATGCATGTAGTACACTATCGAAATCGAACCGGAATTACGGCGAACTTAATGTTTATACGAATATGGCAAGAGTTGGGTTTAATCGAGCGAACCTTTTAGCAGCTAGGCTCCCTTGCGACGGTTTTACTGACGCAGGCACGACCAAGGATGTGGGCGGTACTGTAACCTTGATAGCATACGTGTGAGGGAAACTGTATAGTTTTGAGTCAATAAAAGTAAAACTTAATTCGCTGTTGCAAGGGTAAATACTTACGTATTCGAAAATGCATTTTCTACATTTTTCACATTGTTTTCATGTCTTTCGGTTCCTGTTCGCTTTCGTGGTTGTGTGCTACATGCATTAATAATTTTAGTGGTTGTGTACTAATGTTGATTACCTTACTCTGATTTCGTTCATATCAATACACTCGTAATTTATACATCAGTTCACTTCTCAAGGAAATGTAGTTCATTTAGACAGCACAGCTTGTTTTATGTTATCGTAAAAAACAATTATTTTACAAGACATGACCTATATGTATATGATTTTTATATTACTTAAACTCTCTGCATAATGTTTTTTTAAATAAATAACTTAAAAATATACTACTGTACTAATGTAGTCGTTTAATATACATAAAATTTATATCTTAACTGTAGTAAAAAGTCACTAAAGCTTTATACAATTAGACAATGCATTATAATCATAACATAATCTCGTAATAACTGATACGTTCGATTTCTAAAATAGTTCCATAACACAGTTGACTCATAGACCAATCGTGTAAAATCAATGTGCTGTTTAGAAGGTCCCCATTTAAACTCGTAACTCGACAGTCCGACAGTGATAGTCCACGATCTAACCAGACGGGATCTCTCCTTTCACTGAACTAAACTCACTTTTTAGTTAGACCAGTCTCGATTACGTATTAACAAACCGTTTTCCAACTAAAAATATACAGAGAGGTAATAAACTTCAACTAATCGCAATATTATTAAGTAGAATTTAAACTTCCCTCTCTTAGTATCCGGCATTTGTTTTGGATCGTACGGGATCAAGAATACTCTTAAATTTGACATGCTAACTTCGTACCAGCTATATGATTAGGCAAGTCGAGTAAATGTACCCTTCAACCAACAAGTTCTAAATGATACCATAAAGATATGAAGAAATCGTACCTTAAAATTAATTTAAACGAGCAATGAAGTAACCAAGGTCTTCGTAATTCTTCAAAATACATTCACTTGTTCAAACTCTCAATTGAAAATGACAGCCGAGGATATATAGTTGTTAAAATGGTATTTAGCAATTGGCGCTTAAGGCTGTTGTTCAAAATATTATATAGCTATTAAGGTTCTCTTCCTCCACAAAGTTTTTTGATCCATCCACACTTTTTGATCCGTCTATTAAGAATCACCCTGTATAGTAGGTGTATTGACAATGTTATACAAAATTATAATCCCGTGTGGTAATTCTAGTGGTGTTTATTGCAGAGATTTAAAAATTTAAGACATTAAAGATTTTACTAGGAATTTAAAAATGATATAATTATATTATTATACAAATTATAGGACTGTATTGCGGACTGGGAATTAGGTTTTAAAAATTCAACCTTTATTATTGTCAGGTCAATTGTATTTAAAATTAAGCTTAAAATAAATCTTAAAGTACAATTTGGGTTTGAACTAATATGTAATAGCTTAATCACGTATACAGTAACGAATCCGTAACGGATTTCATATATGGTACAAATGTAGCACAAAAAATGAACACCTTAAATGTAATGTAAGTCGACTCTCAACAAATACTACGTGAGTTAACTTATATAGTAATTCTGTTTTAAATTCTATGTGAAAAATTTATAAAAATAACATATTAGTCTTGTAATTGAAAGCAACAGGACAATATCTGCCATTTATTTCAATTAACACTCATAGTTTTTAAATGGTTTTTCTTGAAACGTGGAATTTTGTAAATAAATTAAATCGTGTAATTATACACATCAAAACCTCTTTGCGGTAACAAGCAAAATTGTAAAAAAATGTATGTCTTTGTAATACAAAAAAGTGTTTATATTTTCTGAAATATATAAAATTTGTTTAATTTTACTTGTCTTTCATCTTTAGCTAATAATCGTATACTTTTTTGTTTTGAGTAGATTATTTTGTCAAATATGATTAACCCATTTTGTTACCGTCGTGATATTTCTACACCGTTAGTTCGTAAGTACAATATTCACTTAGATTTTACCGTCTTTATGTAAATGCAAAGTCATTGATTCCAAGAATATAATTACTGTTATTTGTCAAATACAAATCGAAACCAGCGATAAAGCCATTATTTAAATCCGTCAACACCTATTGACATGTTTATATACTCGCAATCTTACAAATTTATAATAAAAGTGCTTCTATCTTACTAGAAATATGTTTAATTATGCTGTAGGCAAACGAGCGAGGTTAATAATCGGGCTAATTAAAGATGTGATAGTTTTAGGAGATAAAGAAGTAAGAAGAAGGAATAGAAAACGACTTAATGAACTATCTTTCTTTCTCTATCTATTATCTACATCTTGATTAGTCGAACTTGGCTATTAGGGTTGTCAAAAATGAGGAAAAAGATAACAAAAAAACAACAGATACAAAAATAGGCTATTTCAACTTTAATTCGATATTTATTTTTGTACAGTTATTTATACATTATATTTTACCAAATACTCGTATGTTTCCAATCATATATTAAGAATCTAAGTACTTTATGCGATCACAAAGATTTTCGTTACATTCGTCCTACATTTGGTGATTGTACGGAGTGCTGTATCTAATTACGTGGTTACATACTAATATTTATTCGTGACAATATTGTACGTACGTTGTCGTAGATTATAGCGAACGGATATGTACCGTACAGGTTCTGTCGGTCGTTGAATAATATTGAATATTTATCAACGACCTCTTTAAAAGATAAATGCTTTTAAAAGGTTTTTTTATGCTGAATATAAAAGAGTTCTAGATTATTTTGAGGTCAGTTAAAGCTATATTGGTTGTAAAAATACTTGCCCTTTTGGTACTAAAGCTACTTGAGACTTTCATTTGTTTATTACTACTCGAATATATAGATTTCATAATTTACCTTAACTTGGCCGAACTGTGTGGACACAATATGACCTAAACTATAAGCAATTGGTGATACAATTCTGCAATTAAGGATGAATTTATTGTATTAAAAATATGCATTTATTGTTGAATAAATAATTTAATATTTAACGGACTACATTTCAAAATACATTGCGTGCAGATTTTAATTGACAGTCAAGGAATTTAAATTTTAGAATAAACATTAATAAAGCTATAAACAACTACTGTAGGGGGCGCTAGCCAAGCACAGTTGAACCATTATCTTCTCAGTAAAAATTTCCTTTTCAACTATTGATACTGACAATCTGCAACTCTATTATGATTCTATAACATCGCAATATATTTTCATCTATTATTTTATCTGTTTCAGGGCGCTACTATTAGCGCTGTGGGGCACATATGCCGCCGCCTTGGCGCCACTGAGCATTCAAGCCGACGATGACTGCGCCCTCTACCTCACCGGCCCAGGCCGCTCCTCAGCTTACGACTACAGTCTTAATCTGCTCAAAGGAAACTTGTAAGTATTTAAATATAAACAAAGAACAATCATTGGCTGCTATAAGTTACTGCTAACCATAAATATGGAGACTACTATCGATATATCAACATTGGTTATCGATATATCGATAGTTACTAATAATCTTTTAAGAGACGATATAAATCACCTCACTAACAGAACATAGTCTGTAGTTCTTGTTTATATTTTTTTAAAAAATCAGGCATAAGTCAAAACCTTTCGTTCATATACAGATTAACATAGATAAAATTAAAAATAACTGTATCTGTTTATAATTTTTTTCAAATTAACATATCGAAATGTAAATTATGACAGGTGTAAACAGAGTTTAACAGCTGCCCACCCTGCGTGAAAACAGATTAATCTAAATATAAATTAACTGTTAATATATTTATTTATATTTTACACTCAAATTAGTGCTAATGAAGATTTGTTAGAAGAGCGCAGTAGCTCGATTCAAATGAATTTCGTTTTATATTATCTTCACTAATACTTTAGCAAAATGTAGTACAATCTGTACTATCTTTTATCTAAATCCTCAATAATATGACAGGAAATTCAACACTATAGTTGTTGTGATTACTTTATATATATATATGTCGAAATATAATCGAAATATAACTCGTCATATCGTGAATGAATCTTACGATATGCAATTTGCCCAGACAAATTTCTAACGGGCGGAATTCACGATTCGCCGGTAACAATAAATCACTTGCATACAAAGCAGCTCACTGTTTGTCTCGTCAATAAACTTGACACAGTCTCGCGACACACTTCTAACGCATTTCTCCATCTCTATTCATCGTCGGTCATTGGTTTAATAGCTCACTTGTTTCTGCGCTCTTAGGAACATTTAAATGGTTTTCATGTAACATAATACCATCTTAGATTACACAACTCACGTCACTTTAAATGTTTTTTACGTAAAGCCTTCGGTAGTAGTAATAAATGCGAATGTAAACAGCGTCTTTCATGCCTACTGCTATTAGTAGCGTCTTTAGAAATCTAAAAGCCCTTCACTTTTCGACATATTATAAATTTATATTCGATTCTATTAGGATTTTTGCGCTTTAATTACTTTACATACCGTGGGTTTCTGACATCGAAGTCTCTGTATGAAATATAGTCATGCCTGTCATTATCTTTGACAATACAGAAACAATATGTCTTTATTGGAGATTTTGGACTCAGAAACTCATAGTGATTAGTTGGAAGTGTTGAGTTGTTGGAGTAAAGTTCATTTCGATCATTTTTCTATGTAGCATATATTCCTTTTGCTAATAAAGTCATATGAATATTATTTAATACTCTGCAAATTATCAGTCATAAATCATCTGAAAGTTTAACAACGATTAATTTGATCGCATGAGCACAGTTCGTGTGTCACGAGCTGACCCGCGCTGACGTAATTGAAGTAACATCCCATCAACAATGCTGCCATCTTGCACGCAGTACATTAGGCAATTCACGTTCACTTTCAAATCCTTTCGCTTAAGAGACTGGTACAAGCGATATAAAAAAATCAACACCGTTAATGATTATGTGATACTTGCTGTTATGTTTTTGAAATACTAAATGATGTTATGTGAAATAACTTTTAAGTATTCAAATGTCCTTATTCTGTTCTGTATCTATTTTTTACTTTTTCATACTATGTGTATTATAAATAGAATACTTGAGTTTAGTGGATTTTAATAATCAAAAAGCTATTGGTTAAAGGGCTATATTACTAATGTTATAAATGAGAATATTTGAATGGATGGATAGATGTTTGAAGGTTAGCGTAGATATAGAACATAGCCTGAAAGAGTATGTCGGCTACTATTTTTTTTTAATTCGCCGAAGGACGCAATTGCGCGTGATCGCTAGTAATTTCATAAATTAAACGTCTATCGCCATATAGGTATACGTATATTTTTAATTAATGTTTCAAGGAACTAAATCAAATAAAAACGGTATAGAATTATGTTAGAAAGTATAAATATATATTGTGGTTATTTATTGGTATTATCGGCGTTGTATCCCTTTAAGGTTATCAAGTATGTCATCATAACTGTCCGAGAAGGCATATGTTGGAGTTATCTGGTACAGTCAGGTGCTTATCTAACGGATTCCCTGACGTCGTTTGTTCTGCACATTATCTCTATACTCTATTAGGTACAGTACTGTAATTGGAAAAATTCCAAGATGGAATCGTGTGAACATTGATACGCTGGATTACAAAGAAACGAACAGTGGTGATAAGTTAGCCAAGAAAAATTATTTTATATGTATTTAAAACTTGACAATATAATTTTTCTACTTTATATTTTTATTTAAATAGAAATTTATTCTTCTAAACTATTGTTCTTTATATACGTAACTTTACCGTTACAAAACATGTCATGCAATAAATTTGATTTTAGAAATATTTTTTAAAAATACTTTAAGAAATTATAAAGCCAAAAAATAAGTAATCATCGATCAATTGATTATTATTCGTAATGTACAATGCAGACTTAATCTGGTACCGTTACCGTCAGACTAATGGACACGACCACTTTTGTTGACATATTGTAGAAATTCACACAACAAATCGAGTTGAGATACGTGCTTCGTCTACTTTCTACTACATCGGTCACACCCTGCTCGTATTATACGTATAGTTATAGATACACCGGCAATATGAATTCCGGTTTTGATTTCTTCTTCCTGGTCATATGATATTCACAGTTGCATATACATAATTCTAAAAACGATGGATTTTTTTTTAAATATTTTAGACATTAATTTTTATTTCTTTATTTTATTACTATTTTACACAAACGTTGTTGTGTTTGTACTCATAAAAGACTTCAACGCGCTCTACAATTATTGTCGTTTCCTATATTGTTTTATGTCTTTAGGAATTTTTGTGTTTTTAATTTGATGCACTTATTCAATTCAACGGGGGAAAAACCCTATTGCGCTGATCAATCGGTAGACCGTTCTGGCCAACGAGAAACGCCCGTTTTTAAGATAAAAGAGTATTCATTATAAAATTAATTCCAGATATAATGAATATTCCTACAGCAGTTTAAAACTAATCGTATATTTAGAGAAGTGTTGTATGTGAATTGAAAGGGAATTCTTTTAGTTAGCCATGAATTATTTATCCGGTAAATGTAGTATATTTCGTCCAAATACGTTACGTATCGTCACATACTTTCTAAAAACATTATAGAGTTGAATTATTTAATACTCATCATAATTTACGAGCATCATTTTTTGAACGGAAACATGCAATTACATTTATGTAACAAGCTTAGTATGAGCGAAATGAACAAGCTTAAAGTAATAAATTGAAATCAAATGTCGTTACGTAGTTTACAGATATGCAGACGCTCCTTAAATAGTAGAAATGTTTAAAGCACTCTGTAGAGCATAAATTAGAATTGATTTGAAGTTACTCGTATTTACAGTTGAGATAACTTCCTTATTTTCTTTCAGTCCTACAAATTGTGGTAGTCAAAGACCCGTAAGTAGGTCTATTTTCTATTTATAGTATGTCAAATTTCACTGGCAAGAATTCTATGTTACAAATATTTCCAAAATCATTCATTTATTTTTATTTTATGAAACTAATAAGATAGTGTATTTAAATGTTAGAAGACTATCACTGTAATAATTTAAAAGATTTTTATGTATCCATTAAAATGGAGAAAATTATAGTACATAAAAATAAAAAAAAAATAAAAGCTAACGAAGTTGCTCCATTAAACCTATTGACATGATTCTATTTATAAATCTATGTTAAAATATTCAATTCACGTAAATCGTCAGGCGGAAATTTTTGCGTAATTTTTGAATAGATTTGTTAACACTTAGCGCTGATCGTAAACAGCTTTACACAATGTCAAAGTTCGTTGACATTTCTATGGATCCCATTTTATTTGACAATCACTTTTTAAAATTGTTTTATACAATTGTGACTATATAAAACTTTCTTTTATACTAGAGTTATGATGAAAATAATCTTCAAAGTAACCAATAAGGAATGGCACTAATTTCTTTTATTGTTTTCTAGCGGTTACGATGGTCAGCACAGATGCATCACTTATGAAGCCATCAACCAGGCCTACCTCGATGCCAGGAACAGGATCCGTAAGTAAAATTCATATTGCGATGCAATTATTAACAAAACACTCTCGCCCGTAACAGATAGACAGAGATTACAGATTTTCTTGGCGTAATGTATCTACATATATAATACAAGCATACTTATAAAATAAAATTTAAAGTTTTGAGACCTAATTAGAACATAACGAGAAACAACAACTTAAAATTTTCATCAGTCATTTTAAAACATTAAAAAAAATCTTCTATTTACAAAACAAAAGTTGTAACCCATTTTCCTAAAAACAATGTTAGCGTCCGGTTAAAATATTAAGTTGTGAAATATAACTGTGCCGCGATAATAGTAAAGAGAAACAAACTGCAAATAACGCGTTTGTGTGAAAATGTGGGCGCCTCAATACACTTTGTTTGAATAGATAAGTGCCAAATGTACCGCAAACATTAAATTTATTAATAATTTACAGCTATTTTGATTGCTATTTATAACATAATGTAAGTGAATATAGTACGAGTACATATCCCTTTCTTCTGACTATCTCTCTCTTTCTCTCTTTAATGTATCTCTCTCCTGTCTGTGGCTCGTGGTCAGCATAAGAGTTGACTTTCGTTTCCTCAGCGCATTGTGTCAAATTTCTAAGAATAGGTTGAAGTCATGTGGTGGAAAGGCTTCTTCATATTCGGACAGTTTGTATTACATAAACAATTTATACAGAAAACAAAACACTAACGATAAAAATGTGATAAAATGATAGTCATTTTTCACGTTTATGTGTTTTTTAATCATAATAAGGTCGAAAATAAATGTTAACTTTAATTCTAAAAACTGTAATTTATTTAATTTTTATTTTTTATTATTTTTATTTAGTGGTGTCTCAACCGAAGGGAGATTGGAAACCGGAGGACTTCGCGAGTGTCGGCGAACTAGTGCTGGATATCTCAATACAACTAGCTAGAACGTAAGTGATTTTGAAAGCAACTTAATTTTGAATTGACACTACTAGTACTTGAAGCAAAGACATCATAACATTACAGACACGAAATAGAAGCTTACGATATAAGATGGTCATTGCCAAAATAATGTGTGCTAATTAAACTAACATCTGTACAGATAATAAAGCTTTGAATTCCTTATTCATGCACACATAATGACCAGTCTGTATTTTGACGTATCATTACTTAGTTGGCTTTACCAACTAAACTATACTCTATCCTGGTTGAAATTAATGACAATACATGACTACAAGGTTGGCCATTATGACCAGGCCATGAGATCCGTACTTTTGTCTTCTTTGACTTGAACTGATTGATTAAGCCAAGGTCATCTTATATCGGTCACGATCCGGAATAAAATCAAATGTAAAGCTTTTGAAAATTTGGAACAATTGATCACGATACCACGGTTTATAAGAATGGAATTTGTGTGTGCAATGCGTTTATTTTAAAAGTTATTGCATCATTTGTTATGATTAAATATCTTCTAAAACAAGTGCACCTTTGAGAGTTGTGTAGTAGTTTTTTAAATCTTTAGTACAGATTTATGACATCAATTCTACACTAAGGGTCGCCTGTGTAGTCTATTAAAAGACTGAGTGCCAATTAGTCTTCCCAAATTATGGTCACAGTGAATTGACTTCGGAGTTCGTTAAGTTATATACTGATTTCATTTGTCACACTTTATTTTGCTCTTTTTCGTTTTTATTTCATTTGTCCAAAGATTTTATAAAACTAATTATTCAATGTCAATACTTGTGCAACTGAACAGCTGTAAACTGACATTTAAAGAGTAAGAGGCGGCATTTTTTAAATGTCATCGTTGATAATAGTTAAACAGGAGTCATAGTTTGCCGGATGTATGTCTAATAAAATTAGTTTATGATTAATCCAAGGATTATATGATCAAATTTAATTGAAGTTTGAAAAGGAAATATAATAACCGCAAGTGCATAACTAGAATCTTACGCTTTGACATTTATAAGTAATTTAAATAGGTGTCCGGATAGAACATGCATTAACAAATGTAGTTTGACTGTACGCCTAGGATTTAGGCTATAAATAATCGACTCCTGTAACTATAACAATTAGTACGTCAGTTAAGAACATATTTCTTAAAGTTCGATTTCCAAAAAAAAATGTAACGTTGATCATGCTTTTTTAACCTCCTATTTTGCTAGTAGTGTATAAAATAAATTTCATACATCTAGCTCTTGCTCATTATATCATTATTCTTATCAATGCATATCATCTAGAAGGTCATATAAATGTACGAAATCTCACGTGATTGACGTATCTAGGTCTATTAAATTCTTGTTAATGATTTGAGAGTGTGCATATGTAGATCTTAGTATAGATCCTTATGTTTTCTAAAATGATTGATTCGACCTATTGTTGTCTTTAACATTTGAAGGTTGCAACTGTCAAGAATAAGAGTGTAGTATAGAAGTTAAACTTTTATTGTATTATAATCAGTAACATTTAAGTAGATTTATCGTGGGTTTCTGAAGCCAAAACCTCCGTTTAATTTTTTTTTTGCCTGTTGAAGATAATAACAGTGATGACAATAGGTTTCATTTAGAGATTTTGTTATCAGAAACCCAAGGTTACTTACTTTTTTACAAGACAGTTATAATTTTTGGTTAACTACCATTCAATAAAAGGTTATCGTTACTATATTTATTTACATACTTTTGTTAGTTTATTGATTAAGGAATTACAAATTTTCGTTTCCTATGACCCTGTCATATCTTTGTCATTTCGTAACACTACCGTGAAATAAGCTAAAAATTAAATTAAAAGTATACAACACGTAAAGTTCAACTAGTTCAATTTTTAATACTTTTGAGATCATGACCTTTCTCGTTTTTAATTTCTTTTTCATGGAACGTAAAACATTCTGACCAAATACATTTTTTTTTCGGTCAATGTTACAATACGCAACATAATTATGTTAATCACTTAACACGTGTGCTCACATTTTGTTCACAACCGTATTGCATTACAAATACGGTCACTCCATTTTGTACTCTGTAATTTTACGATAGTCACATAAATTTTTGTATGGCATATGGTTTCAGGTTTACTAGACATTTATTGTTGAAGACCTTTATAAAAACCAATCATGCATGATGTTCTAATTTCAAAAATAACCGTAAAGTTTTAGGCATTGTTGAACTTTTTCTTCATGATTATACTTCATACGTTTCTTTCCGATAGTTTTTAATCTTTTGGTGAGAAATGTTCGAATTTCAAACTTTAAAAAAAAGAAATAGAAACATTTTAAAAAAAATTACACTTGCCAGCTTTTCATATAAGCAAAACGTTTTATAGGCTTAAACCATTAATCGGATTGATTGACGCAACTCAATAAGTCATAAAGTACTCTATAATGAAGTACACACGACATATAAATTTAATGCTATGTTACATGAACCTTGATATACATTCCATATTTGTCGTTGGCCTCGATCATATGTATACCAAAATGTTACCACTGAAGATTAATGTACGGTAACGAATTTAAAACTAAAAGAAATTGTGTTTTTCCTAATAATAGCCGATAGAGTTGATTAACCTAAAACATAGTCAAATTAATCTTTTATATTTTACGATTTGAATACGTAATATCAACAACTGAAAAGTGTATGACTCAATTTTTGACTTGTACTGAAATTGTTTGAAGTCATTATCCTTAGAATTTAAAATTTCTATTTAAGAAATTCGTAATGTCAAAATTCAATGTCATCTTAAAGGTAACTAGGACATTCTAAAATTTTAACTTATTACACTGTGTAACCGTGACATTTAATTACTTTTGTTGTATGTTAACCTACATATAACACGCGGCCAATTAACATACTTCAATTAAAAAATTAATATTATACCAAATTATTTAATATAAACTGCGTTTTAAATAATTCTTATTAAATAATTTGAGACGATTAATTATATTTTTATTTTCATAAATTATTTTAACAATAAAAAATTTTTTTCTAATAAAAGGCAAATGTAAAAAGTGCATTCTTTCTCAGTGGGTCTGATATATAATAAATATATACAACATAATAAATTCCTGCTTGATACCTTCACGCGTTTTTGAGAAAAAGGGTCTTGACAGACGGACGGAAGAACAACAAAGTTCACAAAGTGATCCTATAAGGGTTCCGTTTATTTTCCTATGAGGTACGGAACCCTAAAAATGGGTTTACTTGTAAGTGTACCTATTGTTATTATACATAATTTTCGTTCCGGTTTATTAAGCCTACCAATGATTTTACTACGGGAATGTATATGGATAGAAATATTTTTTCTTCACAGATATGGTCTAACTTACGAAGAGATCGAGAAAGGTTTACCTCTGATCGACACATCGCGAACTCTTATCCGTGAGGTGTGCCCGCCTGTCTTCTCTCACGTGGAATGCCGCGCCGGCAAATACCGACGTTTGGACGGCCTCTGCAACAATCTGCAGCATCCCACTTGGGGAGCAACTATGGCTCCCTTCCAAAGGTATTGTAATTTTTTACCAATGAAATTTAGCTACTTCAAATTTAAAAATCAACAAGAATTACGTATTTACTTCTAAGAAAGAAGTGCTCTGCAGTTTACGCGTAACTTCTGTAACGAGACTTACACTAACGACTTGAGTAATAGAAATAAAAAGTTAGTACTACGAAGAATTGACCAATATGTAAGACTTACATCATTAATTATCCTCTTAAATTACTTATAATCAAGGAAATTATCCTGTTATTATAATACATTATCAACCTGTCTTCGTATTATATAAGAAATAATGTTATAATATTTTTGTCAGGTTGATCGGTCCATTGTTCTCTGACGGTATAAACGCGCCGCGTATCTCTCACTCGGGGCGAGACTTGCCGCTGTCACGTGTGGTATCACGCACAATGCACCCCGACGACGGCTTCCACGATCACGCCGGCACCGTTATGGTTATCGCCTGGGGACAGTTTATGGACCACGATTACACACTCACCGGTACACCGCTCGGTAAGTCCACAATCCATGCCACTTGATAGACAACTCTTTCTCAAACCTCGGTTGGTATGATGTTATGCAGGATGAAGCCCATCATCTGATCAAGGTTGCTGGAGTCCAGTTATATGTAGATGCTAAAGGACTGATTTTTAAGACGATTTCCGACTCGCAGCAGAGCTTGTGTCCAGCTATTTTTCAGGCACCTTTACGACCAAAATTGCAGCAGTTTATACCTTCTAAAGCAGAAGATCTGCTTCGTTATTTGACATATATTATAATATGATTCGCTTTCACTCAGACCCTGTTCACCGGAATGACCCCGAGGAATGCTGCAAACGACCCCTGCATTTGAAGCACCCCTACTGTAATGAAATCAGGATACCAGATGACGATTACTTCTACCGGCTCTTCGGTGTTAAGTGTATTGACTTCGTACGTGGCTTCCCGTCCCCCAGGCCCGGCTGCAGGCTCGGTAAGTCAATTATATCATAAAAATGTTCCTATTAATAAAAAAAAAACTATTTTCGTCTTGATTGTCGACTATTTTAAAACATCGCCTAAAAATCCAAATGACGCAATCAGTGTGATTCATTTGTCAGAAACGAAGTCCCATAGTATAGATTTCTCATTCTTAAACTAAGCTAAGCTGTGATACATAGTATGTAATTTATATTGTTCTATAGACATAGAAAGCAAAGACATTGGAAACAATGCATGTAAGATATCGTCCAAGGTTTAAGAGACAGTAAAGTGCGGTCCAATTGTTCTGTGCGGATTATCATGCCATTTCGCACGGCACCGTTGACTGGCAGCTCGTCAGACTTGATATCAAGTTCTCGTCAGACCACAATCGGCTGCGGTCGTATGCGGTCGATTTGCGAAATAACTGACACTGTAAAGTGCTAATATCACTTTTACTTTCCAACATTATATTACCGTGTGAACTTATCACTTTAAACAACAGAGCAGCTTGAGTATTTGAATCCAATTTAAAGCTACGAACTCAAAATTGTACTACAAAATTTGCATCTGTTTGAAGATGAAACAAATCTACGTAGAAACTGATGACTTACCTTATAGCTTTACTCAATTATAGACAAATTTGAGCTTACTCTTTAAGTTTTAATATTCCTCAATTCAATTCTAAAATTAATAAGAATAGTTTAGGAAAAAAAATATCTTAACTATAAAATATTAATTAATTTAATTGATGACTAAATCGACGCACAATTACCGCATCAAATAACACTCTGCACGTTTATAAAGTGACATAAATTACTTAAGACAGTGTAGTGAGAGGTTAGATTATATTTTTTTATGTTAACTTATCCAATCGACCGTGGTGAGACATTAGAGCGTGTGACCGGTCTCACTTCTAACTAGGGCTGACACTGGTACAAATATATTTAAAAAAAAATTAATTCAATATTCGGATTAAATTAGAAAAAAATTAAATAATCAGAATCGAAACGTATACTTTTAACATAAAATACCCTGATGAAACAGATTTATCATAATAAAACATATTAAACTCTTCCCTTAGTGTCCCCTTAATGACTGTGCGGCAATCAATAATATAGTTTTGGATATACACAGTTCTCGTTGGTACAGAAACGAACTTCAGTGTCTTTCCGTTAAGTAAATTTCATGTCATCCGTTTGCGCAATTTCCTTAAAAAGGAGTACAAAGTATTGCCTTCATTTATTAATATAATGACATTGTTGTTGACAACCCTAACTGGGTCATCGTGAGGTTCGGTGAGAGGCGAAAGTGAATCCGTTACGTGGAGCGTGTAGCCGGCGCTCCCGGTTGCGTAAGCCGCGGAATATTGTTTTTTTTTTCTTTCTGGGCTTACCGGAATTTTGTTACCGGCGCCAAAAATGATAAACAACATGACTTTGTGCCTCTCTCTTTGTTATCTATGGTTATCTATATTTTTTTATAGATTCGGTTGTCAATTTGTACTCTATGATCTTATTTATTATAATTTAGAATTAAAAAGGTAATATAGGTAAAGGTAAAATAATATAAATAAATAAACACTAATGTTATTTAAAAAAAACCCTAAATTATTATAATTATTTAATAATCTGAAATCATGACATTCTACTTAGAAATCTAAAAATCTCCTACTTTATTCTAATATTAGTAAATTTATTTACCTATTAGGTTCATGAATTAGATCACAAGTTTCAGAATTACCTATAATAAATCGACGCATGCGATTCAGTGTAATCTGTCATTAGCGCATTCTAAAACATAATACTCACTTATGCAAATAGCAATAAATAACACTTGTGTAAACTATGTTAAGAAATTTGCCGAGAAGATCAAACATGAACCATTGCAAACTGTTGCATTATTGTTTGCAACGCGTTTGAATAAATAAATGACATATGCAATGATTAAATTCCTAAGTTCTATTACTTAAGAACAAAATGTAATTTTCAAATCTAACATATATTGTTGTTTAGTGTTGAAATGTTATGTAATTTTTTATATCATAAACGTAAAGTGTACATAAATTATAATCTACATACATTTTGTGCTATTTGTTCTCATAAATTGTGTATTAATATTAATAGTCAGATTAAATTAAATTGGAATATCTTAAGCTAGGCTATTAGCTTATGTCAGACTAGTAAAGTTTAAAACTAATAGTCATTTAAGTCTACCTATTTGACATTTAAGTTAAATCGAGTATTTTAAGTCACGGGACTGTTCTAGCTTTAGGTAAAGTTAGTAATATTGTTAAATCGACTATTATAATTTACTATACCACTATTCTGCTGGCGCATCGACCCAAAGTGGGTCTTGGCCTGCGACACAAGAGATCCTCTTCTCTCTTCCTCTATTATAATTTAAACTACTATTATAATACTGTTACACGTTCATAATATATTTATTGTTTGTATTTATAAATTCTAATTTCTTATAATAAATTTTCTGTTCTTTTAAGTTAAACCTTTGTAATTTGTGTTGTTAACTGTTGGTTCCTGAGATCAAAATCTCTGTATAAAACATATCATCTCTGTAATTATCTTTGACAACACAGATATAACAATATGTTTTAAACAGGGATTTTGGATTCTGAAACCCACGGTAAAACGAATTGTTTCTTTCATGACTTCATTATTTAAATACTTTTAATTAAACGTATTTTGTGTTTAGGTTCGAGAAATCCTTTTAACACTTTGACTGGCGTGATCGACGGAAACACCGTGTACGGCGTCACTGACAAGTTTGCCAGGTTAGCAATGACTGTATTTAGGTCTAACTACTATTGATTTGCAAATAAATTAATTATTAGAGTAATAGGTGGGTAAAGTTTTTCGCAGGCCCGTATCTATGTATGTATATACAACATCTAAGGAAATGAGAAATTATATTTATACATTTTACTGTCTTACAATGTCATTTATTTTGGATAATTTTAATGTTCCAGTTGTGTAGAGACATGTCTGTTATTTAATAAAAGCAAATTTGTTTTGATAGGTTTGTTATAATTTCTCTTTTTCATTGAATTCGACTATAGGTATGTTCATTTGTAAACTGTAGTCTAAATGGATTGAATAATTTTGAAGTGGGAGGTCCATTTATTCGTTTACTTCTTCTGAATGAAATAAGAAGTAACGTCATTCGGGCAATTTTTTTTAATTACGTATCCGCTTAAGCAGTTCATCATTTAAGTCGCCATTTCGTTTCATATAAAATTTTAATGAACATGTTTACTACTTTCTTAATCGGTGAATGTTAATCAGTAAATCAAGTAACTGTACCTTTCTTTTTATTAATTCCGATACTATCTGGTAAACATCCGAAAAGTATGCGACTTCTCACTAATGAAAGTTTTTTTGTGAAGTAAAACAAGTTAATGTAGTATAAAAAATCTCGAAGACGTAATGTGCTAAATAAACAAACACAAAATGTTTTTTATTTTATATTTTAGGGATAATTGCATAAGTCTATTATAAAATATGAAAAGCAAAAAAGATAAATTTTTTAACTACTCCACTCCACGGGTTCCTCAATGTTTAATGTTTATTACTGTATCCTTAATATAGGAAACTTCGTACCGGCTACGGTGGACTTCTTCGCATGAACCCAGTATTCAAAGAATACGGTCTCAAGGACTTACTGCCGCTGAAGTTAGACATTCCCGACGAGGGCTGCACTCGACCTAACAAGAATATGTACTGTTTTGAAGCTGGTACGTATTGAAACAAAATTAAGCTTAAAATTAAACTGGTTATAAATAAGTCAAAAACACGTACCGTTATATTTTTTTGTCTGTAAAGTATGTTAACCTCTAAAAGAGTAGAGTAGGCGTTAATATACACCTACTAGTAGATGATAATTTTGAAATTTAACTTCGCAACACTACCGCCAACGCAAAATGTCTCGCCTTGAGATATAGAAAGATGGCATTCTACTTCATTTGCTAGTATTAGTATGATGAGGATAATATTTATTAGAATTAGCTAATACACCCAACAGGTTAATAACTTGCCAATAGCTTTGTGGTTAGAGCGCGGACATATGTGGGTTTGAATCCTGCCATTCGAACCATGTCCTAGCTCAAACCTTAGAACTTAGTTGGAAATAAAAGTGTAATTTTAACGTTTAAGGTGAAATTCGTGTGAATGAACAACTGGTGTTGACTGTAATGCACACATTGATGGCGCGCGAACACAACCGCGTGGCGGAGGGCCTGGCCGCCGTGAACCCGCACTGGGACGACGAGACCCTCTTCCAGGAGGCCAGGAGGATCAACATCGCCGAGATACAGCACATCACATACAACGAATTTCTACCCATTCTCTTAGGAAAAGATGTTATGGAAAAATTCGGTTTGGTGTTGGAGAAACAGGTAAAACTTTGAATAAAAACATGAACGGGACAATTTGGTATCTGTCATTCGTAAACGGTGATGTAGACAAATGTTTTTTATTACTATTTTTTTATTAAAAGTGATTATATAAAGAATTTTTACAGGGTTTCTGGAATGGATACGATCCGGAGGTGAACCCTGATGTGATCGCGTCTTTTGCGGCCGCTGCTTACCGTTTTGGACATTCTCTTTTACCAACAGCCGTCGAGAGATGGTCGAAGGCTCATAAATTTATTGGTACGATATATTAACTTAATAGCCATGCTTTAATTCAAATTCTATCATTGTTTAAACCGATTATGATACTAAAATAAATTCGTAATAAAAAAATATTTATATTCCAGCTTCGAAACGGTTATCGGATCTTATCAGAAGACCCTACGATTTATACAGAGCTGGAGTTCTCGATGAATATGTTATGGGATTGATGAACCAGGTGGCACAGGCCATGGACGACTCCATCACACAAGAAGTAACAAACCATCTCTTCAAGAAAGTGGGTGCTCGCTTCGGAATGGACTTGGTGTCATTTAACATGCAGAGAGGTCGTGAATTCGGTCTGCCCGGTTACATGGAGTTCAGAAAGTTCTGCGGTCTGTCGGGTGCTGACACATTCGAGGAATTGTTTGGATCTATGCCTAACGAGACCGTACGCAAATATGAAACTATATTCGAGCATCCGATCGATGTAGATCTGTGGTCAGGCGGCGTTTCCGAACGTCCTCTCCCGGGATCCATGTTGGGTCCGACATTTGCGTGCATTATCGCTACTCAGTTCTCTTACTCGAGACGTGGTGACAGATTCTGGTAACATTTTAATTTATAAGGAAATCTTTTATACATTTTGTAGTAAAATTTTATATATATTCTTACATTGATACTTGTTTTCAGGTTCGAATTACCTAACCAACCTTCATCGTTTACTCCCGAACAACTGTCAGAAATAAGGAAATCTCGACTCGCTCGTGTCATCTGTGACAACACTGACATCATTGACACTGTTCAGCTCTACCCAATGGTGTTACCCGATCACGAATTGTAAGTATAACCTAAAATTTACATCCATAGATAATATCATAAAACGTACTAGAGCCTTTTGATATTTTATTTGGATAAATATAAATTTTATTGCCTTGTTTCCACAGAAACCCTCGTGTCCCGTGCAGAAGTGGTATAATACCACAAATGGACTTTAGTAAATGGGCGGACCCAGTTCCGTTCCACGGCTCGGCGAAGCAGTTTGTGAGTAGTTTCACGTACAACCCGTTTTTGGGCAAAAAGTAGTGACTCCTGCACCGAGTATTTAGTAAAAACTTTGTAGTCAATAGTCATACACGTAGTTCACCGTATAAAATAGTAAAGACAATTTTTTAAAGAAGCGAGTGACTTTCTGGTAGAGAGTGCGAAGTTCATGATGAGTCAATACTCAATAGTTTAGTTAAATATTTAAAAGATTTATGAATAAATAATTTTGCTCTACATTTTATAAATGTTGAAAAATTTATATGTCACTTTACTCAAGTTGTGAAGAAGCGGTGAACGCAAAATTATTTTATTTTGGCTTTCACTTAAAGAGAGCGTATTAATTTTTATATCTTTTAAATAAGTCATTCTCTTTAATCTGAACTATTACCACAGACCTTGAATTTATTTAAAAATCCTTAATCATCATTACAACAAATGGTTAAGAAAGTTAAAATAAAAAGTAATGACACAAAATCTTACTAAAATATTTATTCCCTCATATTATTTTAGATTGATGGGTAATATTTTTTTAATTATTTCCGATGTTTGTGGTATAAACCTAATAACTGCTCAATAATGTTAAGCAAAATATCGGCATTATTGCGTAGTCATTATTGGATCATTAATTTATATTTTAGATTTTAATAAATGTGTACAAAATGTATTTAGAAAATAGAATAGAACAGCTTAATTGTTGTATTTATGTAGATAAGGTACTTTGTAGTTATGTTTTTTACAAACGTAGAATCGGCGAGTGTATTTTTTTTATTATTGTAACCTTAGCGAAGCTTACCGTAGACAACAATAATACTTAACGTCACTTAAGCGTGTAAATTTTGTATTTTACTTTACCAAACTTTAAAGGTGTGGCAAAAACCTTTTAAAAAATATGAAGAAAATAATTATGATAGCTTCAATTTTATTTTATTTTCGTGAAACTTCTAACTTTAAAATTAGCGATACTAGAACATGTCTCAACAGCTTTCTTTCAAAATAAAAATCGTTTAAGAAAAAATATGCGAAACAAGATATTCTCGCCAAGTGACGTTATGTTTATATTTTTTTTATGGGTACGAGTAAAACAAACATTTGTTACGACCGACAGATAATTAAGCTACATAAAATCGTTTTTAATAGATTAAATTATAATATTAACAATTTTGTTGAATGAATGATATTCTTGCCTGTTTATTTAAGCCGTAGCTGTATATTTAAATATAATAATAGTTTAACAGTAATATATCATAGTTTGCAAATTTACGGAAAAAAGCGTATACACATAAATTTTAGAAATGTTAATAACTTTGTTGTTTTTATTTATTTTATAGTAAAAGTTTTATATTGTATTATTAACCCTAACATTAAATGTAGTTTTTGTAAATACACAGTTTTGTAATAAATAATAGCAATAGCACCATTGTTTTATTCAACCACACACAAAAAAATACTCCGAATTGTATGCATTTTACGATAATATACAATTTACAGATAACTGTCGCAGTTGTATCGCCAAATGAAAGTCAAAATATTACATTATATAATGCCACAGAAATAAAGAGTAACGATAACACGACTACAGATCAAATTAATAATATAGTGTCTAATTTAACTATCAAAGAACAAATCATTGAAGTACCACAAAAAGACAATCACAACATTACAGAGAAATCTGCTGGTAATGATACCCAAACGGCTTTGAAAGAACAATCTACTATAGAATCTGAATATAAACAAAATCATAACAATGATACTCTGTTGAAATATATTTACAAGAAAAATGAAAAGGAAAATTTACCACAAAAGTCAAAAGGACATGTTCAAAATAGCTTAAAAAGGAGAAAGAGGTTCATCAATTCATCCGATTCTGATATTGTTCCCAAACCAAAAATCCTACTAGTTCCTATAGATTATCTTGATATCGATCAAGGTAAGAGTAAGGAAGAGTTATTTTTACCTGTAACACAAACGGGTGCAATTGTTCAAAGTTCCAACTTAGCAGATTTTAATATCGAGACAATTCATCACGATGATGCAAAACCAGCTAATGACGCAGAGATCAAGGAAAATAATCATCCTAAAGTAGCGATTGATTCTAAATTTTACCCAAGCCCACAAAATGATGAAACTAAAGAAGAATCACAAAAAAGTGTTGAAAACAAATATCGTTTGAAAAATGAAGCAAAAACAAAGGACTCGGGTGAAAATCGAAGCGGAAGTGAAGAAAGCTCAAGTAGTTTTGAAAGTGAACATAGTGTAGAAACTCCAAACGCTTCGACTTCCTCTGAATATAATAAAGAAAGTAAAGAAACAGAAAATTACAGAGACAGTGCGAATCCAACCCCAAGAAAGAGAAATCGAAGTGATGAAAATCAGGAGACTGATAAATCTTATGATTCGTCAATAGAAAACAACAGCGAAGCCAGCCAAGAGTACACAGGAAAATCTATAGAACTTTATAGTGATCAAGGAAATAATTCTAGTAGCAAAAATAAACCACTGATAGTACCAAAGCAAGATTACATAAATCTTGAAATAAATAAAGGTGATGTAGAAGAATTGCCAAATACTTCTCGTGAAAAATATACTAAAGATACCACAGACTCTTTGGAGACACCAAAAGCAAGCGAAGAAGTGAGTAATGAGAGTAAAAGTGATGAAAGTAAAGAAGTATATACAGATTCTCGTTCCCAAGAAGAGTTAAAGGACAACAAAAGTGAAAAGCAAACTCTCATTAATGATGAAGAAATAAAACCTGTAGTAGAACTTAATAATGGAAGCGTCGAGTCCAGCGAAGAAATTTCAGAAGAAGATGTAAATTCACGTTTAAAAAATAACAGCAAATTAGTGTCACTTACTCCAGTTAAGAACATCCATACGAAGAGCAAGGAATTTTCGGCGCAAAGTGATGATTTGGAAAAAAAGGGTAACGTTAAACAGCAGTTCGAAAGAATTCCTTTAGATTACATTCATGCAGATGAAGTGAATAAAAATAATACCAGCAATATTACAGCTTCGCATATCAAACCGATCGAACTTTCAAGCGAAGAAAAAGACAAAGAAGGTACCTTAGATACATTGTCGCCAATAAATCCTACGTATGACGATGAGTTAAATATAAAATTCCATGACTTACCTTTAAAACTCCCTGAAATAAAACTGCCTGAAGACATTTTGTCTTACGCATACGATGGACCGTATTATGAAACGAAAAAAAGCAATGATAAAGAAGCTCAAAAACAAAAATTCTACCACAATTACGAAGACGACGATTTAGATGTTAATCCCAAAGATAAATACAATAAGGAAGATGATTTTTATGATTATTACAAAAATAATAAAGAATATGATCATGTAAAGCGGAATAGTAAAATAAAGAATGAAGAAGGTGAAAATGAAGATCTTTATGAGAAATTCGTTCGAGAAAGATTTGGGAAAAAACCTGTAAAGCAGAGATTCGAAAGAATACAAGATGAACGTATTCCATCCCAGTTAAAACTTCGTAAAACATTAAAAAATATTCTAAAAAAGACTGAAAATGTAAAGAAAGAAGCTGAAAAAAGTGGAGATCCCAATGCTAATTATATGTGGACACTCGAGTATGGTGAAAACCTATAATGACAATAGTTTTATGTATTCTTACAGATGTAGTTTAATTAAATTATTAATTTATAGATTTTGTTTATTTACTTTAAAAAATGTAATCCTCTACTATTTTAAGTAAAATTTAAACCGATAACGTACTCTACCTGTCCCCACCCAATTTTACCCAAATTGTATTTCCAATTTCCAAAGATTGACTGTCAAAATCAATGTCATTGACAATCTGTTTTGTTAGTGTCTTTGTCAATGTATCTAATGCTACTAAAATGAATTCTACTGTTAATTTTAGCTTATTAAAACCTTATATACATTAAAGGTTTTCTCTTATTTCAATTTAATTTCAATTTCATTTGTCTTCTCTATTGAAAAAGGTAAAGTTATCCGCAATGAAAAAAATCCATTTTTATTTGACAAAAATTATTCGGTTGTAATTGTAAGTTGGCAACAATTACACTAAACCGCCTTAAAAAAGTTTTGATTCGATTGACACGTAACCTAAAATTTACTGAAGTCTGAAGGAGTAAATCCAAAATCTGTTTGCAAAAAATCTATTAAAACTTTATTAAATACATTTACGAATTCTATAGTAGTATTTTTTGAGTTAAAATGGCCGAAGAAATACAGAAAAAGATGCAAAAGGAATTGGAGATATTCAGCGGAGTACAAAAGGAGTATAAAAAAGCTGTATCGCAGAAACAACAGTTAGATAGTCAATTGAATGAAAACAAAGCTGTTAAAGAGGAACTCCTGTTGCTTAAGAAAGATGCAGAAGTTTACAAACTTATCGGTCCTGTATTGGTTAAACAAGATTTAGAAGAAGCTAAACAAAACGTCAACAAACGAATGGAATATATCACCAAAGAAGTTAGGAGGACTGAAGGACATATATCAGCTTTAGAAAACAAACAAGACGCAATACAGACTAACCTTAATAAGCTGAAGAATAACCTCGGAAATTTGAAAATATCTGTTTGAATTCGATATTACTTTTATTCTTATTTGAATATGCTAGGGTACATGTCTTGTCTGATTTTATTTATCTTTTAAATAAGTACTGTCAATTTTCAATTAAATTTTTTAGTACAAAATGTAACCTCTTAGTCAAATCAGTAATAAAATCACCTGTATTTTAATGTAAAATTACTAATATATGTTCCAATTGGTTATTAAAAATATGACTATAATAAAAAGTGTGCTGCGAATACTAACAAATCAATGTAACACAACTTAAATAAAACTGTAATCAGTCTCTTTTATTTTGTTTGAATAGCAGAACTATTATTTCAATTAATGAATTAATCTATAGCTGAAAATAGGCCATGTGTTACCACACTGTTGGTAAATTTAAAAGAACACTATTATAAATGCGAATAAATGGCTGAATGGATATTGATGAAATTTGGTATAGATGTAGAACACAATCTGGAAGAATACATAGGCTAACTATGATCCCGGAAATGCGTATGGTTCGCATGGAATACATTTGATTTAAAATTTGCTTGATAACTCTGCAAAACTTCAACAAATTTTATCAAAATTTGGCACAGATATATAACATAATTCCAAATTAAATGTGAGTTATTTTGGAATTATGTCACTTTACACCTTTTTTTTAAATTCTGCACAGTTGAAGTCGTGGGCAAATGCTAGTTAGATATAAATAAAAGACAACAAAATTAGGTATGAAATATTTATTGTTTATTTAATTTTATAAATACAAATTCAATTATAATAATGGCACAGTAATTTGTACCAAAATATTTATATCACCACTCAATATCACTGAAATAGATTGTTGTAACTGCTGATGAAAAATAAATGTCATATATAATCTTACAAACGAGGATATACATGCAAATATGAAATGTACTCTTATTATAAAACTATAGTTCTGTTATATAACTAAAAATTTTATTTTTTGAACAAGATTTTATGTAGTAAATGATAAATAAGTTCAAACCACTAGAACAACATTAGCTCTAAACATATTGTATAGTATATAAATGCTCTTTATCTGTAAATTATTCTAAAGGTCTTAAAAATATGCTATATTGACTATTATGTTTCAACTATGAAAGTTTGTAACAAATTCTGATAACAATTTTAAATGATAACATTAATACTTTTAATATATAAATCAGTCACATAGTTCAATACTAATCTTGGTCCCTTGCTTCAAACTTCAAATGTTTTTATACAAATATTTTAGCCGTGAACAATGGCACAATCAATTATGAATACCATCAGTCAATATATCTTGTCATTTATAAAACATGTATAAATATATCTAAGTATATAATATCAAAAATATATCAAATAGACACAATATGGACTTATGTACCTATAATTGTGTTCCATAAACCTTTACTTAATTCTACTCTGAACACAAGGCACACTGCAAAAAGGCATTTCTTGTTTAACAACAAACCTGCCGCTAAGAAGACTCTTGCCACACATTCTTCCCGAGCAGATGAAGCAATCAGCATGCCAATGCGTTGTGCTCCACGACACCCCTTGCTGCTCAGGCCCAATGACACCACCACATGCTCGGCAACGTTCAGCATAATACTGGTCATAACACGAAAGACAAATCGGCAGACCAGTCTTATCATCTGGCACATACTTTTTACCACCCAATGGAGCATCGCAATGGTAGCAACAAAAATGTTGAACGTGGAAAGCTCGACCCTCCGCTGCCGTATAAGGCCTTGTAAATATCAACTCGTCGCAACCCGCACAACGAGGTATCTCTAAAACGTTAGCCAAGTCTCTGGCGCAGTAAATTTCACCTTTATAGAAGAAGTACACAAGATCTGCCAGCAGTTCCCCGCATTTACAGCAAGTGAAGCACTGTGGATGCCAAATAGCTTCTTGGCCAGCTCTCTCAGCTTTCACGGCCACCTCTCCCGCGAACATAGACTTATCACAACGTTGACACGGCACACCTTCATTGTACAACTTCCTATTAAATTCCATCTCTGCGGGGCTCAAGGACATGTCGGCAAACTGTGTGAGTATTGGATCAATTTGTTCTGCATACTGGGCCACTGGATGTGAGATGCTATGGAATGTATTTTCAGGTAAATTGTTCTGGTTTTCTATATTCAAGTCACCGGCAGTTGGTGGTGGTAAGGATCCAGGGTATGTACTGTAGTTAGGTAAAGGCGGCGGAGGAAGATCCTCTTCGGAATGTGTTCTAAGATATTCCCTCAATGGAGCGGTCTGCTGAGGCTCTACTTGGTTCATAGGTTTGGAGGTGGTCGAGTATTGCGGATTTATTTTAGTAGAGCAAATCGTTCCGCTGAGTTCAGGAGTAGTCGGCTCATGTTTCCAACTCCATATCTCGCCATTTGGAGCGAAAATTGTTCCTTTCTGTATCCGACTATCAAGTACCTTCGCAGTACCCTTTAAGTTATTATTGCTTGTGGGCCACAGATCAGACATTATCTGAGCCCCTAGAGATTTGCATACAAACTCGTTTGTCTCATCCCTGAACTGTGGATTTTTATTATACTCATCTCGGAATAGTTTGATAGGCTGTAAGTAAACATCATTACTCACTGGCATATTTAAGTCATTCAAGTTCTTGAGTAGCTTGTCATATACCGGACCATGTTCAACTGCACTCTTGATCCTATCAGATTCAATATGCATTATGTTGAGTTTGTCTTTCACAATTCTACTGAGTATCGGGCTTGATTTGTAATCAGGCAAATTAGCTGCACTGCTTACAACATTGCCTTGAGAATCCAAAACAAGCTTCTTGTCAGATGCATTCTTTGGTATAATGTTATATTTTACTCCTCGGGAGACATTTGATATTTTTAATGGCAGAGCATATGATTTGGTAGTGCCATGTGCTTTGCTGTTTTCAACTGAATATACTTCACCGTTTTGTAAAGGACCCACTCTAACAACATTCCCCATTCCCACAACATGGTCTTTGATACGCGTGATGTATTCCTGCAAAATAATATAACATTATTAGATTGAATTTAAAAATATTTTATTGGTAGACTCTAGATAACTAAATATTTCCTAACCGTATGCTCAGACTTTTCCTGGTCAGTAGCGTGATGCCTTGCGGCGAGCGCTACATCGTGCGGCGGCAGCTGAGTGCGGAGCTGCGCGCGACGCTTGCGAGCCGCTGCGGAGCCTGACACAGGTGCTAGTGGACCCAGGCATGACATGTACTCGGATACCTGGGGGCATGTTTTATTAATGTTAATCCGCAATAATAAACTTTTATTATATTTAAATTCAATAAAGCAGGAGTCAATGTGTATTACTTTGTAAAAAAAAATTAAGTATATATTCAATGAATAAAACAAAACATTTGAACCATCCCAAGAAAATGCATAGATGCCTTGGAATAGTATGTGATTGATAAGAACAATTCAACAATAAAATTTGACTTTATGGTGGAAATTTTTTTTTGTAATTATTTTATCATAAATGAATTTATATAGATAAAAGATACATTTAATTATCTTGATTTAATATAATTACCAGTTCTGTAGAGGCATTTGGAGGTACCCAATCTAGTTTTACGGGTTTGTCTGTCACACCGCGAATCTTGATCAGGGGTACTGTAAAGAAAAGTGAAAAATTAACCAGAGATACAAAAAATTGAGTTAAACACAGTAATTTCAGTGGACTACATTTCATATTCATATAAAAACTTTATGTATAATTATTAATATGCAAAAATTAAGAAAAAAAGAAGTATAGATGGAATCAATACTGAGAGTTAAGAAATCGGTTTGCTATTTAATTTGTTAACCATTACTTACATGATGCCTTTTTAGGTCTAGCAGTACCAAGGAGTTCAAACTGAGCCCACCCAGACAGGTCATCATCTTGCACATCATGCACATCCTTGCTGCAATGGCATGCTCGGCATACCTTTCGCCAAAAGTGTAGATCTAGGCCTGGGCATGTAGGACCTGTAAAAAACGTTCAGATTATTAAAAAGGCGGTAAAAAGACAAGTAATAACTAGTAACTGTAAACTGCTTTTTGGATATATAATATTAAAGTTAGGTATTGTATTACATCTAAAGTACATTACTACATATTATCTTAACTTACCACAGGAATTGCAAGGAGCGCCGGCACCGCTATCGTGACCAAGCCGGGCCTTACTCAATTTTTCGCGCTGACTCTCCAATTTAGATAACCAAGCTGGAGCTTCTGGAGTCTCCACACATGAGTCACCCATCTAAAAATAAACATTCAGGTTCGTGAAACATTGTTACGATTAAGTGCTGATTCATAATTTCGCTTGTGAAGCGTTATCAATTTTGATTACTCCTTAGCTACACCTTACCCTTTTGTTATTGGCACAGGAAATACTTTAGCGAACAAGAGTGTGTTATACTGTTATAAAGAGAAAATTTTATACAATACAAGAGAGAAAATTAATTTGTGTACATTTTGTATAACTTCAATTAAAATAAAACAAAAATACAAAGAAAATACCACAGCCCCAGTCAAAACTTAAAACACTGAATGAACATAAAATGATTGATTGATAATTCAAAAATGAATGATTTCAAAGAGTATGACACTTGGTGACCACAGTGTTGCAATCAGTAAATTTTTATGTTAAGATAAAACAGTGTAACTGCTATTTTTTTTGCTTGTTTTTACTTTATTTGCAATAGAAATAAAAACAAAATAAGAAAAAGAAATTAAAAAAAAAATCAACATCGATATGTGGAAAATTACATTCTGTGTTCTGTACGTACGATAACCATAAAAATGTGTTCTATCTATGGATATTAAAATACACCATCCATCATTCAATGCGTTTTTTCTATATTGTGATAGGAATTTGATTCATAATTCTTAATCAACAACTGAAAAGCACGTACAAAACTTTAACAACACGTACAATAATTTAAACTTAGTGAACGTAATTTATAAGACTTCATTTCAAGGTAATAAAAAGAATATTTACATTTCATTTTGGATTTTCCGTGACTCATAGGTTGGCATTTATTTATCAATTATTTGTTTATTTTAGATGTCTTCAGGAAGGCCTATCAAATGTGTAGTTGTTGGTGACGGGACTGTTGGAAAAACTTGTATGTTAATTTCATATACAACGGACAGTTTTCCGGGCGAATATGTGCCTACAGTGTAAGCAAAGATTTATTCATATTGGATCCTAATTACAATAAGTAAAGATCGAACATGATATGTATAAAGACATTAGTGGTCATAATGCTTATTGTTTATGAGATTTTTAAATATTTGTCGTTTTTAGATTTGATAATTATTCAGCCCCCATGGTTGTGGATGGTGTTGCTGTATCATTAGGCCTTTGGGATACAGCAGGACAAGAGGACTACGATAGACTGAGGCCATTGAGCTACCCACAAACTGATGTCTTCCTTATATGTTTTAGTGTAACAAGGTAATAATAATCATAAAAATATCATATTTTAGAAATAATGGCTGTAGATATTAAAACCAGTTGTTTTCAGTCCTTCATCATATGAAAATGTTACATCTAAGTGGTATCCAGAAATCAAACATCACTGTCCTGACGCACCAATTATTTTGGTTGGTAAGTGTATTTTTTTATTATATAAAGTGTATAATCAATTGGTTCTTTTATGTAAATGTTTTGAAATATATAAGAACTTTCACTTTATACAATTATACGGGTAATCAATATGTTGAAATAATATAAACTCATAAATTACTTAATTGAAAGTTAAATGTTATAAGTGAAAGTGGTTTGGGCAGTTGACATTTTCAGTAATGTTATGATAAACCAATATTTTATTAATGTTTAATGGACCAATCAGATCAACTGAAATATGTATACTGAATAAATGAAATACTAAACTTCTACATTACCTTCTTATAAACTTATAATTCCCAGTTGTCCAGTGTAATTTTCATTCAAAATTTTAACATTAAGCCTTACTTATTAATGAAGGATTAACAACTATTTATGAGATAAAATTAAAAATATGTTCTTAAATAAACTTAATTCTCTTTGTTACTAGGAACAAAAATTGATTTAAGAGATGACAGAGAGACATTGAGTTTGCTCTCGGAACAGGGCATGTCTCCGTTAAAGAGGGAACAAGGTCAGAAGTTGGCCAATAAAATTAGAGCTGTCAAATATATGGAATGTTCAGCATTAACACAGCGTGGATTAAAGCAGGTGAGAATAATTATAAATTTCATAATTTGTACAAAAGTATTTTAATTTGTAACATTGAGTACTCCTTTAATATAATCTTTTTATTTTTGTTCATTTTAATTTGACATGCTGTTATATATCTACCATATTTTATGCTACTGTTGTGTAATCATTGAAATTATCAAGTTGACCTATTCTATTCCACCTAATCAGATACTTTTCCATTGTTTAAAAAAAAAATAGTTATTGCAATGTATAATTTTTCAAAAAGTTCCGATTTTATTATTCTCAGGTATTTGACGAAGCGGTACGCGCAGTTTTAAGACCGGAACCACAGAAGAGACATCAGAGGAAGTGTCTAATCATGTAAATATTGCAACAGCGACCAAAATATCTAATGACATGCGCTCGGGAATCTCGACATGACAGTAATAATATGTTTCTATACCAATATTTTGTTTAACAGTTATGATGCTACGATTTTTGCACAAAAATACAACATATTTATTTTTTATTATATCTAAAAAGCTTATATATGACAAATGTGTGCCATAAATTTCATTTCACATTTCTTTGTATACATAATTAAATAGTAGATTTGTTATATTTTTTAATACTTTTTAACCAACTTTAAAAAGGAGACGGTTTTTAATTCGTCTGTATTTTTTTCTACAGTTTACTGCTATAAAATATATAAATTTAATAAGAAATGCAGGGAATGCTTTCAAAGATTTTCTTTGTTTTTGACAATTTGACCTGACAAAATTTGGTCTTTTTATTTTTATAATTATTGTAATGCCTTATTTTTATGACAGCTATATACAAATGCACTCATGCATGCATGTTGGCCTTACTGTTGAAGTATTAGTAAAACAAATCTCATCATCTTCCTGGCCTTATCCCAGTCATATGGGGTCGGCACACAAACCTTAAGGTTTTTGCTTATGTTTATAAAAAAATATAATAAATCTTATTGATTATGCCATCACATGAATATGTTATACTTCAATATATTGTAAGCGATATATAAAATGCCAAAGATTTATGAGTAGATATAAGTTTTCACTTTTTAGTTTGCATCGTGAAATGACATGCGGTTGGAAACAAATTGTTACTGTTCAATAGAACTGATTAATGATATTATTTTTTATATGCAAATGAAACCTCAAATTGGAAGTTTTGATATGTATTCTTTTGCAACTTTTTAATAAGGACTGACAGTAGAAGCTAGTTGTGTATTACATACTCACATTACTTAGTTGCGAATAGGATTTTATACAGGTAGGTTTATTATCATAAAACAATTGTTAATTTCTATATAAATTATATATACTGACAAGAATGGGTATTGTTTATATTGTACCCATTTTTTTATATTTTTGCAGCTGATTTGTATGTGAAACAAACAAATACATACATAAGGGAAAACAAGTGATAAAACACAATTTTTAAATTGAATTATTTGTCATTCTATTAATTTATTACATGTCAGAATGTGTTATTTATAATTTGATATATTTGGTACATTGGCACATAACTAAAGTTCAAGAGACAAACTAAAATTGGATTTAATCATTGATTTAGCCATACTTTATAACTGATTTTTTATAACACAATATTTATATTATTATATATTTTAAAAACTTTATTTTTATGCACCATAACTTAATTATTTTCTTTTTTTATTCTCTTAGTATAATTAAATTTCTACCGCTTTCTGGATATCTTCATATAATATTTACTGTTGGCTTTTTTCTCTTATTTCTTTAGTCCGAATTAGACTTAGTATGAATATAGTTGTGAGTGCTTAAGTTTTTTTTACAATGTCTTTACTATGCTTATACTTTGGTAAACTTAGACAATAAGTTTATTGCAATATTCTAAGGAATTGTGGAATTTATATATTGCAAACAGCTATTATATTTTTTGGAATATTTGAGTGTTTCTTGTAAGTCTTTATGTGTCGTTTGGTTAAGTTCAGACATGTCTAATATAAGTTAATTTTATATTTTCTTGATCTATATAAAGGTATTCATGTATTATATAAAAGATTTCATTTAAATTGTATTTTTTAGTTTGTGTACTGTCTTTAGATAGACATGTGATGAAATCGTGTGTTTTATAGTGATTTATTAGGTCAAAATATTTTTGTATGTGAAGAACATAGCTTAAGGGTAACGAAGCATTTAGTGTGATCCGAATACATGGCATCGATTTTTCGTAAATATTTTATAGACTGCTTTGATTTACAATGTAACGTGTATATAACTATTCAATTATTTATATAAAAATGCGCAATTTAATTAATAAAACTTGTGTAATAATTCTACTTGCACTTCATAAATTATTAAATTTTAAATTCTTGTATTATTTTATTCCCCCATGATAATTATTGTCAAAATGCTGTTATTTTTTTAATTTACGTTATTTATAAATTGGTAAATATTGCAGCCAGGTGTGTTTGGATATAAGTTAAAAAAATTTATATATATGTTCAGTCACTAGTATCAATATTGCTGACCTAAAAATGTTAGGAGCTTTTTAAAAATTAATAAAGACATTTGTATAATTCATTTATTTCTTATAACACATATTACATGTCATTAAGACGATAGCTAATAGTGGAAAACCTATATAGAATGTCTAAACTCTAAATAAAGCTGTAAAAAGCATACATAAAAATTCAATTAACAATACTTAGGTTTATACCTTTCGTTTTTATTATGACTATTCTTTCGTTTATTACCTGATTGAAATAAGACCGGAAAAGTTTACTCAGTGTTTTCAAAATTACCAAAATTAAAATATTTTTTGAATGAATAGTGCAATAGTGAAAATATTTCCGTGACATAGTACACAAAAAGTTTGAGTTGAATTTCTCTATTAATATGAATAATGTAACTTCATATTACAAAATCAACGATACAATATGCAAGATACGTGTTTAATCAGTTATCTAGATAACTGTTGATTAAAATATTAATACGTAATTTTTTGATAAAATGAAAAACACTGGATAAAATATTACAATTCAAAATCAAATATGTGGAGTGGATAAAATCAATCTAAACACCATATAAAAAAAATTATAACCGAAATACGTCGGCAAATATTTTATACTATAGTCGTATAGCAAGAAATAGGTACTTATGATAAATGCACTGACACAAATTCAGTTGACTCATACACCGGTCGTACTAATGAACGTTATCCACATACCAAATAGTTACAGCTCCTAAAGTTAACAGGACAATTGGCATTATGTGCAAAGTGCTCACATTTGACTCGCACACGAAATACGTCAATGTCCAAGCAAATCATATTTACAAAAAATTGTAAGAAGGTCGGGCAAAGCGTTCAATATTACATAAGAATATTGTACTCTACTACAGTAGAAAAATCTAATACTAAAACATTTTATATTTTATAACATTTGAAAACCACATCAACAAACATTACATGTCAAATTTACGACGATACATTATAAATGTTTAACCAGTTCAGAATAAAAGCAAGGCCATAGTCCTCCACTTAATGTAAGCATAAAGAAAATTTCCTTAAAGGATATGTTCTATTTTATATTCATCACAATTTTGTGCTTTAGAGCCCTTCAGGAGGTAAAATTTTAGGGTAAGTTTACAAAGTATATTAAAAAAACTATTAGACTTAATCACAAGTCCAAAAATCGACATATAATTAATAAATGCAACAAACTAGAAAAATATAAACTTATACTACAATTGATCTTAGATCAGTTGATATTAAAAAGCTAAACAAAAATTTCATTGTATGTTCTCTAAACAATTATTTTAATATCTTGATGAATTGGAAGTATTATCTTCCAAATTGCCATTAGTTTTCATTCCCGAAACACACATCATACGAAAAGATGTTGCTCAGTTTTTTCCAGAAAAAAATTAAAGACAATATATTTTTAAATGTAATTTTTAAAGCACTGACCACATAAAAAATTCTTCAATGTAATAAAAACTACCACATGCATATTGATTGTATTTTAAGCAAGTTGTAGTTAAGAATGTCATAATTTGGCCACCATGTATTACTTAAAGTAATAATTAAAAATGTAAAGATGAAATTGTCTCAAGAGAACTGTTTGTAAACTTATAAAACCTATGGTTACAAATACAATGCACATTTAATTACACATTACATAATATGTACACCATAAATATGTTATCAACATAAATACTAACATTGATCTTTATTTTTGTTTCTTTTTTATTTTTCTTACACATTATTTAATTGTAAATAAGAGATGTTTAGCCTAAACAATAAAAACATTGATTATAGCATAGACAGATATAAATATTACCAACTATAAACTGAATACTGGTATAAATATTGACATGAGCATTGAAATTTAAGCAATTCTTCAAAATTTCTGTAAAACGTTAGAAACATTTAGAGATAAAGTAAAATACAACTAATGCAACTACACATCCATATAACATGTATTATTTTTAATCATTGTTGACAAAATTCAAGGTAAGCTATAGATTTTCTGAAGAAATTATGCTGTTTCAAGTTTAAATGCCCTCATTGATAATGCTATCCACTTCCTGATATCACATGGCCCTGTATGGGCCTTGAGACTTCAAATATTGAATGACCAATGACGGACCTGAAGATACCACCTCAGGTGGAATAGCAGTCAAGGGACAATTCTCAATACTCATTATCTGTAAGCTCACACAAAGAGCTAGCTCAAATGGTAAGTTACATAAATTAGGATTATCATTCAAATACAATGATTCCAAGTTCTCAAGGGTGCCAATTTCCTCTGGCAAATACTGAAGATTGTTTTCACCAACACTTAGAAATGTAAGATTAATCAAATGACCAATGGATCGAGGCAATGTAGTTAGCTGATTGGATTGCACAATCAATTTTTGCAAGTCATGCAAAAATCCTATCTCATTTGGTAGAACTTCCAGCTTGTTTTCTTCCAAGTCTAAAACTCTAAGCTTTCTTAAGCTTCCAATACTAGGTGGGATTCGTTTTAATAAATTATTGGATAGTATTAACACCTCCAAGTTCTGAAGGCATTGAATATCATCAGGCAATTTCAACAATTGGTTTGTGCCTAAATTAAGCTCCACCATGTTGATCCATGTGCCAATGTCAAGGGGGAGAGATGTCAGCAAGTTCTCCTTCATGTTCAGTTTGGTTAAACTTTTAGCTCTGGAGAATATACCATATGGTATTTTGTCAATTTGGTTATGTTCTAGATTTATGGAAAATGCATTAGTAAATTGAGCAGGTCCTCCAGAGGGATAACTCATAAAGGAATTTCTAGAGAGGGTAATGCTAGTCAATTCATTAAGACTGGCAAGCAACCCTTCAGGGAGTTGTGAAATAGAATTGCCTTCTACATTGAACTCATCCATATGTTTGCAGTTACTTAAGCTTGCAGGAATGGCAGTCAGTCGGTTGTAACGAAGACCAAGACGAGTTAGTGATTGGAGGTTGCCTATTGTCTCAGGGATATCAAGCAATTCATTATGTTGCAAATCAAGTGTAGACAAATTAACACAAAAACCAATTTCTTGGGGTAAATGTTCCAAGTGGTTATGTGAGACATCAAATGTAACCAGATTAACCAGTTTACCAATCCCAGAGGACAATTCTTTGATCTTATTTTCTCTTAAACTTAGCATAGTTAAGTTTGTAAGATTGGCGATGCCATCACAAACTACTCGAATTCTGTTAAATCTAAGAAACAGTGTTGTCAATGATGTAAGCTTATATACAACATCAGGAATATCACTTAATTTATTATGTCGCAAATCCAATACCTTCAGGCATTTTAAATTTGCAAGAGAATCAGGTAAGCTTGTTAATGAATTTTCATTTAATGCTAATGTTTGCAAATTCGTTAAACAACCGAATTCAGCAGGAAGAGCAACTAGTTTATTTCCATATAAATAAAACTCAACCAAATGTGTCAAGTCTCTGACATTGGGGGGTAGAGATGTGATGCTTGATTTGCTTAAATCTAGCCGCTTCACGCCTTCCTCACGGCATCGCATAAACTCTTTGATGACATCTAAATCGGCTTGAATGGGTTTGTTCTTCTTGGCTGTAGGTTTAGGCTTGTTTGACTCAGGATGTTTCACGGTTACCACTTTTGGCCGCGCTCCTTCGGAGTTTGTTAGTGAAGCAGTCGATAATTTCTTTTCTCTCATACTGTGATATTTTTCTCTCGGACTTACGGTACCGATGGAATCCAAGGCTTCGGAATTTTCTCTTGACGAGTTATCGAGGTTCATTCCGATAATTTTATTTATTACGTTTAATCCACTCTATTATGGGCATATAATTAGGCGATTACCTTTTTAAAACTCCCGTAACATTCTTTTAATTTTATTGCAATAAACACAATCAATACTGGTTCACTTCAATATGGAAATTGTCAGTCACGGCATAACACTTGTTTACCGATTTACTTTGAAGATACCTGATGACTGTAAGTTCGTTTAACTGACACTCCCGAGCTCCCGAGGAGGAAAACTTAAACAAGAATATGAGCTGTTCTAAAAATAATGAAAATGCAGTGCATTCTGCTTTGAAAAAATACAATTTACAATTTATTACAGTAACTCAGATACCCAAAGAGTATATAAAATGCAAATCGGATATACCATCGATATCATGAATATTACGTTAATAAAATGTAAAATATTTTTTTAGATGTTTCAAAATATTGCGTTTACAAAGTTTTAGTAGTTTAAATATGCATAAAATAAAAGTAACTTGTTTTTATGTGTTGTTTTAGACAAAAATATGTTTTTGAAGAGAAATATTTACTATTTAGTTTATGTGATAACGAGAATTCTGTTTTTTTGTGTGATTACTCTTTGACTTTGACAAGTGCAGTGACAGTGACGGATCAGAAGAGAGAAAGTTTGTTGTGGCGGGTTATATTTTTACTAATTGCTGATTTAATTAAAGGATTTTAAGTATTTGTTGAATAACCTATATAATCCTGTAAACATGGATAAAAGTAAAGAAAAAGAAGAACAGAGCATTATGGATAAATCCATGAGATCCGTCTTTGGTAAGTTTCATACTTATTAACATTTAAAATATTTTAACAAATTCTTGTATTTACACTATTTTTTATCATTTTCTAGTGGGTAATATACCTTATGAAGCTACGGAGGAAAAGCTTAAAGATATATTCAGCGAAGTGGGGCCGGTCTTGTCTTTTAAACTAGTGTTTGATAGAGAGACTGGAAAACCCAAAGGTTATGGCTTTTGTGAATACAAGGATCAGGAAACAGCACTTAGCGCCATGAGAAACTTAAATGGTTATGAAATTGGTGGGCGATCACTTAGAGTTGATAATGCTTGTACAGAAAAATCAAGAATGGAAATGCAAGCCTTAATGCAGGGACCACAGGTATGAATTTTTATTTACTTTTTATATCTTGTATAGATATAAATGTCAGTACTTGTTTCATGTTTTATAGGTAGAAAATCCATACGGAGATGCAGTTGATCCAGAAAAAGCACCAGAGGCCATCAGTAAAGCAGTGGCTACTCTACCCCCAGAGCAAATGTTCGAACTTATGAAACAAATGAAGCTTTGTGTTCAAGTATGTTCACATATTTTACTTTTACTTCATACCTTGAAGTTTATTTTTTAAATCAAAACCACTATTTAAAATTCTTTTAATAAATTTTAAGTCCTACTTTAGTTAAATAGAGAATTGTAATAAAAACTGTAATAATTTGTATTTACAGAATAACCCATCTGAAGCTCGAAACATGTTGCTTCAAAATCCTCAACTAGCATATGCTTTACTTCAGGCCCAAGTGATTATGAGGATCGTTGACCCAGTCACTGCTGTTGTAAGTTTTTTATGCATTTACTTTGCCAAAACATTAACATAAAACATGTTATAATCTCAGTTATTTGTCATAGTACTGGCAATACACTTCAAATGTGAATATTGAAAAGTTGATTACTGTAATAATTATATTTCAGAGTATGCTACATCCCAGCAACCCTGTACCACCAGTGTTACAGCCCGACAAGCCTCCAATACCTAACAACTATGTGCCATCAAATCAACCACAAGGTAATTTATAGTTTGGATTTACTTTTATGTATAGTAATACAAAATTTATGTGAATTTAAGTAATTTAGCCTTTTATTTTTATTTAATCAACATAAATTTCAATTATATTTTCAGTGCCACCACTTATGAATAATCCTGTCCCTACACCTAATCAATACAACCGTAAGTGCTTGTAACATAATGATTTTGTTAGGTTATATATCATATGTTTATTAAATCAAAGATCCGGTATTGGAAACCACACATTAGTTAATACATACAGAGTGATTCACAATTTCTACTAAAATTAACGTATATATTTATAAGAAACTGTTTTAGTTATACTATAACTTAATAATAGCTAAATCGAAAGCTTAGAACCAGAAGATGGACACAGGATTTTTAACTTGTTTCCTTTTTTAAATTCATAACGAACGAAGTCGCGAGTAAAAGCTAGTATTTTATAAGTTACTTCTACGACCACTCAATAGGTCTGTAGTGGTTGCAATGAGTGAAAATGCAATGTTCCTTTGTACTCAATAGCTCGCATGGCAAATATGGCGGGCATGGACGTGGACCTGCGCAGTGCGCGTGCGCCGGTACCACCACTACTGGACCAGGACATGCGCAGTCTGCCGCCCGCGCACCCCGCGCCACACCCCGTGCCGCCTCCGCTCAATCAAGACAAGTATTTTTTAAATTATTTTATAGTATGTTTGCTGAGCGTATATGTTTTTTATTGGTAGTACAAAATACACAATTTTTTTTTATCTATTAATTCTTTTCGTAATAGATGAATTGAATAGTTTTGTTACAAATTCAAATTTCTCTTTAGTAATCCCGTTCCTAAGGAGACACGAGAAAAGTAAGTCAAAATCATTGTTTAATATTGATGTTGTGTTATATTTTTACTGTGGTGTTTATAGCGAAGGCTTATTACAATTACAGATATATATGTTGCAACAAGGAAAAGTATAAAATAGTATTTGTGGACCAAATATGAGTAAAAACAATGGATTTATTCTAAAAATGTATCAAATTCCACTATTAACACATTTCATGCCACCATTTTATCATTGTCAGTAGCAATATCCAGGCCAGCCAGTGGCATTGGATGTGTTAAAGGAATGGAGTACCTAATTAATGACTTTAATATAATGATTTACCTAATTAATGACAACATTTTCAGTATGTTCCCGCGTGATCCCCGTCTCGCGAATGCTCAAGGCTTTAATGCGGATCCCCGCGTGCGACCTAATGATCCAAGAACTCAAAACAAGATGCCCCGTAAGTCATTTTAATGTTAATTAAATAGAATAATAAATATTATAAATACAAAAGTTTAAATGGGTGGATCGATGGATGTTTGTTAGAAGGTATCTCCAGAATGGCTGCATGAATCTCGCTTAAATTTGACACAGATGAAGAACAAAGTCTTGAAGAAAACGTGCAGACGAATTAGTTTTGAATAACTCAAACTATATTTGTATTACAGAACAAATGCCCCCCGGCATGCCGAGCATGGCTCAAGCCAGAACAATACAAGGAATACCATCTGGTGCTTCGGATCAAGAAAAGGTATGTTTCATTGTCTTATTCCTCTCCCTCTCACTATCTTTGACAAAACAACGATAACAATATATTTAATATAAGGATTTTGGTCTCAGAATGCCGCGATAAAAGATGTATTAAGTTAATTATTTATGTGTGTGCAGGCGGCGCTGATAATGCAAGTGTTGCAACTGTCGGACGAGCAGATAGCGCTGCTGCCGCCCGAGCAGCGCGCCAGTATACTCATGCTCAAGGAACAAATCGCCAAGAGCACGCAACAACGCTAATACACTAGATTATAATATTTTTTTCATTATATGCTATTCAACAAACAATACTATTGTTTTTTTGTACTTTTATTTGTTTATGGTAGATAAGAATATTTAAAGCTAATAAAATCATGCAGAAATATATTTCTGTATTTGAAAACGATCTAACCGTAATGCTACAAAATCACTTAGACAAATAACGTACGGGCAATGTTTTTAAAATACTAAAACAAATTCACATCTTAAAATATTGCAAAAAATGCCAATTCACGATCAATCGCTGCATTTAAACATTTATAATACCCCAATACTAATCCTAAAATAATGGATGCTACGTCTGAAAAAAAATTAATGTCAAAATTGCCTGTCGTTTTTTGACAGTGACAGATGACAGTATCAATCGTTTACATGCCCTACTCATTACTTGCTATAACTTGCTCACTACTGGATAATTTATCACTTCCGTCTAGAAAAGCGCGTTTAGTTCAATTTTGACTTGTCACCGTTCAGCACCGAACGTTATAGGTCGTTCGGTGAAACATAATTAGTATTATTGGCAGTGATCTGTGTTTGTTCCTAAACAAATACTGCAACTACGTAGTTATAAGGTAATTTAATGAATTTTTTTTTAAACTTTTATTCGGTTAAAAATAAAAAAAATGTTTTTTCACTTGCTTTTAATGATGTTTTCGAAAATAATATAGCAAGTCTTGTTTTATAAATAGAAAATTTTAAGTACTTTTAATCTAGATATCAAATACAAAACGACCTTGATAACGACTATGTAATGACTAAATTAATCAGCAATGCAAAAGTTCGTGTATAAAAATAATGAACAAAGAAATCTGATCATAATTTGAAAAATTTGTGCAAATTATTTAATTCAAAATTCAATCAAGATAAAGTTATAAATAGAACGCGGAATCTAAAAGAACTTTATTTTGAACAATGTTGGTTATTTTAACCTTTCATTAAGCTTAGTGGTTAATGTACGTTATGTCAGTCGGAGATACTATTCAAAAGTTCCTTTCCGTAAAGTTCAGAAGTTACAATAATTGTGAATGACTGTCTTTTCTTATTTGATTCACCACGTGTTCTTGCCTTGGCAAAACATTGTAAAAACTGCACGTATGTTTAGTAAAACGACAGGCTAATGTTTATGCAGGTTAGTCTCTATATTGTAATTGTTTAACATTCTACGTTCAGTTTGCTCGTGAGTTTCTCATGTTTTTTTTAATTATTTAACGACACCTCTTTTAGAGAGTTGTTTAATTACAATTAACTCTACAGAGTCGAGAAACAATTTTTATTTATATTTAGGGTACTTGTAAACTAGTTAATTAAAAAGTTTTACTCTATGAGGTAAACAATTGGACAATCTGTTGCATTTATATTTTAAGCACAGTATATTATGTAAATATGTTCGTATTTGGCTTCGAAACCAGTTTTATAAAAATAGCATAGTCAATACTTTCCATTTGCATTGGATATAAGGAATCGATGTACATACGTGACATTAAACTTGAATTCATCAAAACATTGCGACGTGTTTTGCATTTTAAATGTTTTTAAAAACACACCTACAATACAACTACGTGTTAATTTATTCTCATTCCAATAAACTTTGCATGGAAACTGCTAATTCAATGTCAGTTTTTATGACTATGGCGCGGATAAAATTCGCCAGTGTTTTGTTTTGTTTTGCACGTAAAAGTTTTAAAAGAAAGAGGAATCTTTGCAGAATGAACACATAATTGCCGTTTATCAATGCTTTAACTTTAACTAAAAATACGTTTTTTTAGTTAGTCTACAAAACTTATATCGAATTTATGTCTAAATGAAAGCTTTGAAAATGCAATAAACAGGAAAATCCCACCAATAAGGAAAAAACGGGTATGCGGTAACCAATTATCATAACATTGTTAACGTATTTAAAAATGACGATTTTTTAACCGACTTAAAAAGGGTGAACGTTCTCAATTCTTTAAGTAACAAAAATTTAAATTTAAAAATATACTCATCAGATATACTTCGTTATATCTTTATTGCAGGTAATTAAAAATATAAGGATGAAGTGGTCATTAACTGTAGCAATATGCCTTTTGAGTTTGTATGGATCCGAAGCTTGGGCTACCCAGCGACATCTGGAAGAAGACCAAGAGAACGAAATCTCTTCCCGGAGAACTCACCACAAGAAGGCGGGTCCACCCGATCATAATAAACTGGTTGAGATGGCACGATATGTTATGCATAATTGTGGTAATGTATTTTTATGTCTTTTCTAATATTATAAAGAATTTCGATCCAAATAAAGTAATAAGTACTGTACATATTTAATAACATTTTGAGGTCAAGCATATAGATATCGGACAATGTTTACTTTCAAAAATAAGTGAGGTAAAATGCATTCAGAATTTAAGCGATTATTTTTGGACAATAAATTCCACTGCACAAGCCAACTTTTCAGTTTCTATGATAACACTAACATTTTTTAATACCTAAGATAAAATACCAAGTTTGTAAAATTATAAATACAATAAAATTCTTGTATTGAATCCGAAAAATTGTACCTATTTCGCGACGTCCGTCTATTTATAATAGCAATAAATCATACAACTTTTTTATTCCAGACTACTGTGGGTCTAGCACGAATATTTGTGACAATCGTTTCGTCATCGACAAAATTTGATTTAAAAAATTGTGCAGCGTATCTGGCGTAATTACACCAAAAATCTCATACTGATTTTGACATAATTGACGATGACGATGACGATACAAAACAGATTGTCACAAATTTTCGTACTAGGCGCATCGAAGAAAACTAGGATTTGAAATTCTTTGACTTATATGTAATGGTGCTTTAGTAGTTATTCCAAAAAACTTTTTTAAAAGCAAACAAATCGCTTGTATTTTGTGACTTTACTAATTTTAATCCAAATAGTTTCAGTTTGCATTCTTTTCGCATTAGTCTTGTAACAATACATCTTGTTAACAGATTGGGCGTCTATCGCTACAATATCAACGCAACCGGCTATCTCGGGCTTTCCTTTCACAAATGTTAAATCCATAGTGGACGGTTCTATGGCAAATTCTACCGGCATGCCGTACTTTTATATGTCACCGTTGGACTTTACTGCACGCGATTTAGCGGTAAGAATTACTTTAAATTTGTTACCGTGGGTTTCTGACACCAAAATCTCTCTATAAAATATATCGTCATCCCTGTCTTTCATTTTTAAAAAACCGATACACACAATATTTGAGCAAAAGCAATTATAAATAATCACTTGGAATATGTAGAACTTTAAAAAAATCACAGACAACCCTTAGAAAATCCCTTAGCATAGATTTAGTACGAAAAATACAATGCGGGGCTGCTTGAGCATGCTTTAAGCGACTCTGAGTAACAATAAGACTGTTAACAGAAAAACACACGTGCGACAGTGCTCGTGTCCCTCGAAGAGACGCGATACTGCGAGAGCCAGAAGTGGGACCCTGAGGACCCGCGCTGCACCAGGCTCATGCTGTCAGGAAAAATGAAGAAGGTAATTAATATCTTAACTATATTATAAATGCTAAGTTTATATGGATGGATGTTTGTTAGAAGCTATCTCCGCAAAGGCAACTTGATGAAATTTGGTACTGATATAGAACATAGGCTGGAATAACACACAGCCTACTCTTAAACTATTTAGCCGACTTCAAAAAGAAGGAGGTTATTTAAATATTTTTGAAGTATTCGCGGGCGATAGCTTGTTATACGAAACATTGTGTTCGTATTTTTTTTAATTGGAAATTAGCCAAGATTTATTGCGATCTGAATATTTAAGTAGACGATAAAATAAAATGTTTGTAGCTCCTACCAAATCCGAATATTAATGTTCATAATATGATAGCCTCTGAAACTACTGAACGGATTTGAAAAGTTGTTTCACTGTTGACACGCTGTACCTAGGTTATATTTATTACTAGTTTTTTTTTATTCTGCGCAGAAAAGTCAATGGCAACTGCTAGAGAATTTATAAAATTGTATCAAATTTTAATAAGCTCATCAATTAGTTTCGCACATGTGTCCAAATGCATTAAATCGCATGGACGCTGATTTTTTTTAATATCCAATGACATAAAAAACCGTGGCAACGTCTGTTCAGATAAGCCAGTTATCGGTTTAGCCGTGTTTACATTTGCACTCTACATGAGTTAACACACGTCCCCCTTATCAACTTTACTATCTCGCAAATGATAAAATAATGGATCGTTTGAGATCATAACCTCAAACAATACAATTTATGTTTTTAACAATAACCTGATATTATTTTGATAATTTCTATCTTAATTATCTTGAGTTATTTCTTTAATCCGATAATCGTACACTCGTTTGATTGTATATTATTAAGAAGAGATTTTATTACATTTTTTAATTTTTAAAACTTTTAGGTTATATATTTTTTTCATTGCATATTAACAATGACAAATATAAGTCATTGACCAACTATATCCTTAATCCAATTGTTAAAATATTAGTAATTTTTAAAAGAAATAACAAAATTACATATTCAGTGTATTTCTTACGCGTTTACTATTTTTAATCAAAACAATGCCATTGGATTTAAATTTGTTTCAGGTCAAAGAAGGTACACCGGAATACACATTCGCTAAAGCTGCGTTATTTGAAAGGCATCCAGCTATGGCTCATTTTCCCCCTGGTACATGATTTTACTATTTATTAATTTATCTTTTTTTATATTAAGTTAATATAATCTCTTATTATTATATTGTAGACCACAACTGGTTCGTGGCTAAGATGAAGATAGCTCAAATAGCAATGGTGGACTGGTTCGGCGGCGCTAAATACGTCTCCGTGAAAGATTATCTCGCATACAACTACACCGGCGAGGAAGTATTGCACTACTCCAATCGTTTGCACTTATAATCACATTTTTATTATATGTACAGTCGAGGACATTTATTTCATATCCTCCTACGATAAAATGTCATCTGAGGCATCGGTAAATTACGTCAAAAACTACATACATACTTGCTAAATTCTCTTATGATGAAAGATGGTTGTACGATATTTGATCCTAAGTGGGAAGTGTATTTAATTCTTTTACTGTACCGTAATGTAAGTACATTACAACTAAATCTTAAGACAAAGTGATAGCGTAAAAGATATTTTTGCTAATATATGCTCCTAGTATTTTTAATACCCAAATGAGCAAGTCAATGACTAGAGTGAGAACCCATTCGCAATGACCCAGAAGTCATGGATACCTACAATAAAAAATAAGAAGACAGTTCACGGAAAAAAGCAGTAAGTAGAAAGAAGAAACAGACAAAAACTTTTCTCGTCAGAAGAAAACTCTGTTGTCGTATTTAATTCTATCACTTCATGTGATTTCAATTGAAATAATGTTTATGATTCCATTTAAATAAGCGAAGACGAGTATAGAGTAATAGTCAAACCATTTCTCTTAAAACATGGGTGAAGGTATGATCTTTGTCCCATGAAAATATTAAACGTTATTTGTGATAAGTTTTTTTATTATACAAGCAATAAATACATATTTACAAAGTAATTGTTACATTATTTTTAAAATAAAGATTTTCTATATTAATAAATGATTGTATTATTTATTTAACAATATAATTAAATTATAGTAAGTACATAGCTATTATTAATTTCGCGAGAAAAAAAATGAGTTAAGATTCGAACAATAAAAAAAAAAACAATATTTTGTGAAAAACAAAAAATTAAGAATATACAACCATAATTACAAAACACATTGACAACATTCTAACAAAATTATATTTAAAAAAAAAATATCTCGTTTAATTATCACAACCGCGAACACAACATAAAAATATTAATCATGTCTAAAGGTATATTGTACAATTTTTTAAAAGAAATGATAAAATTACTTTAGTATCGATTTATAAGAAGTTAGTCAAACCTAACATCAGTATCAACAACAAAACCATATTGTTAATAAATAGAAAAACAAGTTATAATATGTTTTGTATTGTTTTTATAACATTTTTATTTGTGGCTTAATAAATCAAAGAGACATTGTATGCTGATGATATTCAATGACATTGTATTGACACGTGTTGCCATCTCTTACATTATCTTTGATAAACCAAAGACAACTATATGTCTCGTTACATGTGTCATGACAGAAACTCAGTCATTGTACCAACAATTACCAATCTTTTTAAAACAAAGTTCAATGTTTAAGACTTATCATTTTTGTTATAGTTTAAAAAAAACATCTCAAATCAGACTAATTTTATATCTATAGGTCTTATATACATGACCTAAAGAATGATATGAATTAAGATATTAACTTTATAGGTCTAGTGACATTGTTTTTTACATATTCATCAGTTAGAGATATAAATAAACGGAAAACTAAAAAACATTTTTATAATAATGAGAAAAATAGGCAAATTAACATATATTTGTTACGCAAATATAAAAGATTACATTTCCTTGTAATGCCACCAATTTAGTTTATACATGTTTACATAAAAGAAGTAAATAATAAAACAGAACAGCAAAGTCTTTACTTTAAATTAATTGTTGATTAATTTGTCGTCTTCAAATTCATGGCAAAAAGCAATAAGTGCAAAAATTTAAAATTAATAACAACTAATATTCTATGATAGTAAAATTATCACTACTAAAGCTGATATTAACCCGTTATTCTAAATATTATGCAAATAAAAAATGAATATATTTACATCAAAAGGTCATTAAGAAACCAAAATACAAATTAAACTTTTAGAGCATTACAAAATGATATAAATAGAAATTATAATATGCCTGTAACAATAGGCTAATGGGTGTTTACTATTGGGATGTTCTGTCTAACAATTAACATATTCCCCATTGGTCTGATTGAGTATATTGTAAAAAAAAAATCCCATTGGTCCATTACAGCAAAGCCAACCAATCCAACAGAAAACACCCAGGTTTATATGCACCTGTACACCCAATAATATCCTGATTATTTAAATACTACACATAATGAGTAAGTAAATTATCCTAATACAAAATATTCCCTATAAATTTATTATAGTAACTGAACTCTTCCGTTGCAGTGTACGCAGGAAGCAACAGGTGGGGCAACATTAGTGCTATTGTTATATGCATGGTTCACTAAGGCATTCACTGGATCCTCATTTGCCTTCTTTACTTCTAGTGGCATTGCCATGACCTTAAAAAAATATTATTTATTATAACTTATTTAATAACAAATTCACAAAAAATTACTAAAACAAATTTAAACGGATAATGAAAAGCGAGGCCTTATTACTATAAGCAATCACATCCAGGCTATTCCATTGTACTATTGTGTTTATTTATAATGTTATGTGATAGTGATGAATTGGCATTTACTAAGCTAGAAAATAGAACATATTGAATTGCCTGCATATAACATATTTAACTAGTCTGTTATGTAAGACTCAAAATAAAATATAAGGCAGGTCTATTAAAAAGTAACTCAATTTATATGAATAAAAATATTATACTAAATACTTACATTTTCAGCATATATTTCTGCTTCAGTAGCCGAAGGTAATATATTAAAATGGCTAATATCTTGCTTATCAACTGAGCTACTTATGTTTTCTGATAATTTCAAATTGACCGATGCCATGTCTAAAATGTTTGTTGAATGTGGTAATGTCGCTGTGAAGTTTAAATTACCTATTGGTCTGCTATATATCTTAGTATTACTAATATAGTCTGATATAGCTATATTTTCTAGCCATTTCTCATGAAGACTGTATAAATTTCTATATGTGCTTAGCATCATATCCCTTGTTCTGCATCTCTCATCTAATAATTTCTTAATGGCTTGTTGTAAATTCACTGTTTTTTCATTAAGTAACTTCTTACAATTAGCCAGCTCTTCTACCATTAAACTAAGAAAAAAAATTACTTTAGTATTTAAAGATAAAATTATAATTATATGATATATATCAAAACACTACTACTATTTTCTACCTGCTAGCAAGAAATTTACTCCTCCATACCTCACATTGTCCAGCAAGCCACTCTGTTTGTTCCTAAATAATATAAAAAATTTATGTCAATTTTTCATACAATAGTTGACTCAATATATAATATATATAAAATAACAAAAGTGAATTTTCTATACCTGATGTGTTGAAAGATGTTGTGCGGAATTAATCAAAGCATTTGCTAGATGTTTTTTATCCTCATTTAATGATTGAACTTGTATTTCAAGGTCTTCTCCCATAGAAGCAACTAACATTGTTTTTAGTTCCTTATTTACCTAAAAATGTATGTAACACATTGTTTACACATTAAAAGTAATACATATACATCATTTGACTTGAATTGAAATAAATATAATTTTATCTAGTTAGTGAATTAATTGGTATGTTTAGGACATCATACTTCTTAATGTTACTAATATTATAAATGCGAATGTTCAGATGGATGGATGTATGTTTGTTTGATGGTATGTTCAGAACGGCTGCACTTGCAAAAATTTGGCATAGATGAAGAACACATAGCCTACTAATTAAATTTCTTTTCAATTACATGTGGACGGAGTCGGAAGCAACAGATAGTAAAATTTAAATTTATAATACCTGAACTTGTTGCTTTAGTTGCTCCTTTAAGGTTTCATTTTCTTTTTGTGCATCTTCCAATTTTTTCTTCAAGTCATTATCAGTGTCGTTTTTTTCAATATCTGTTGTTGATTTATCACTAAGAGAAGCTAACTTTGGTCTAGGTTTGTATTCATTTAAATTTGTATCCATTTGTGACATCTGTGATATCAATGTGTTGATATCCATGTTATTTCTAGATTTTTTTGTACTCTTAGACAGTGTTCGTGAGGTAATTGGTTTAACTGCACCAGGATAGGGTTCATATGGGACAAATTTTGTATTTTTAGTGTATATATGCGATGTTTTCTTCTCTGACGTCACTATTTTAGATGGATATAGTTGAATCAGACGTGTAGGTAAAAGTGAATCGGTACTGTTAATTGACATGTTACGCTTATATTCAGGTTTGGACTTATTTTCAACAACACTATCAGCAGATTCCATGCCATCGCCTGCGGTTCTTGCTTTGCTTAACATTTCTGGAACAATTCGTTTTATTATTTTTTTATAGAAAAACAAATATTAGAAAAATAAATAGCTATGGTTCGCGTTATGACAAAAAGTTAATTGCAATTACCATACCTGCACGAAAAGAATTTGGTTTGTCCATTTTCTTTTTATCTGGGAATAACACTTCAATAGCAAATTATTGCATACGTCAACAAAATATTTACAATCAAATCACAAAATCACGTAAATAAAATCTTAGCAAAACTTCAAAGTCGAATGACTTGTTGACACTTGACTAAACATGTGATGACAGATATAAGTCCAGGACCACAGATTAATAAGATTATCTTAGTCTACCTAGTTCCTCTGTTGGATTTGTGTTGTAAATCAAAAATACTTTTATATTATTAATAATTTTCATTAATAAATGGTACTAGCTTCTATCATAATAAAAAAAAAACAGTTAAATCCTAGTTTCTTAGTTGTAGGCAAATTGCATTACATTAATACTTTGTAATTTTAGACTAAAATCATTGATCAAGCTAAGTTCACCATTCATTCTAGTATGCTGGTATCTATTAACTGGTGAATTTGAATTGAATGGTAAAAGCCTATGGTTTAAAATAAATTTCAAATCAACAACAATCTTGAAAAATTGTAGGATTAAAAAAAACATTACAAGCGAGTGAAAAATTCAGTACCCAAATTATTCATTTAATAAATAAAAAAAATATTACACCACATGAACACATTATTCTTTTAAAGTAGATTCTAATTCACCATTAGCTTTCATTTCCTTAATTATATCTAATCCTCCAACTAGTTCGCCTTTTACATATAATTGTGGGTAGGTTGGCCAATCAGAGTATTCTTTAAGACCTTGACGGACTTCTTCATCAGTTAGGATGTCAAAGGTGTCATATGGTACACTGTAAAGAAAAAAAATCATATATGATCCATATTTTAAATTACTTTAAAATGTGTATGTAGTTTAAAATTAATTGACCTACAAAGCAGTGTTTATACATACCCTGTTTCATTCATAATTTCAATGAGGGTCCTGCTAAATCCACATCTTGGTTTCTGCCTGTCACCTTTCATAAAAATCATCACCTTATGCCTATTAATAAGTGCTTCAAGTCTTTCTTTCAGTGGCAATTTAGCTGTTGTAACTGGAGCAGATTTACCAAGGCTTTGAGCTTTTACTTTAGAAGTAATTTGTGATACATCAGCCCCATCCACTCTATCCACTTGTGCTCCATTTTTAAATAATATCACTGTTGGAACTGAATCAACCTGTAAATGTTGGAAAGGGTTTAAATTTATGTTACAAATCTATAACATAATATTTTAGTGTGAATCACAGTCCAATTTAGTATGAGAAAACGCTATGTTAAAACTATCTTTAAATGGACTTCGGAAAAGACCAAATCTGCTATATGCTTGAACTCTCTTAAATGTTTTTGTTTTGTAGGTTATCTATTGTTATTGTATGAACAATGTTTCTTATCTATATTTTTATTCTTATTTTTATGTAATATTGTCTTTCTGAATTTATTGTAGTGACAAATTTTTAAAAATTTAATTTGAGAGGGAACTATCTTAAGCATCATTAATTTCGTTTTCATTTGTTGTTATGTTATAAGCATTTTCATCAGTATATTATTTTATGAGATACAAACCTTATATTTAAGTGAGATTTCTGAGAGACCTTCAGCATCACAGGCTCCAAATTTACTACCACTTGACTTAATTTCAGGAAGTGCAGAAAGTTCTTCCAGCACCGCTGTTATTTGAGGGCACTGTTCTGCCCAATCAGTGGAAAAATGTACTACTGTTAGTTGAGGGGAGCTGAAAAAGTAAATTTAGTATTGAACTTAAAAATTTAAAAATACATCACTTATTGTTGTTAAAATATTTAGAAAACATTCATGTTATCTAAACACCCCCAGAGGTTATGTAACAAAATGTTAATAATATGAAAAAATTAGAGTCTCACCCAATAAAATTAACGAAATTGTCGGCAGTTTCCAATTTAATAACAGACATTGTGTAACGAGGTTAGATTTATATTATGTTCTTCAAATTATACAGCTATATCTGCAAACGTTATATACGTTGAAAAATTTATTCTTGATTACATTAACTTTCTTCAGTTTGTCCCCTACCTATATTTGTTATTTTGTATAAATCTTATTTGGAAAGACAGTCTACTTTCAGTTTTTTTTTATTACCTAAATGCAGTTGCATTTGCATCGAACAAAGAGTAGGTACAAGATAGATAAGGTAAGGAAAGGAAATGTTCTAGATCACTGATCTTTATAAATGGATAAGCATTGCTTGGAAATGACAGCTTTACTTTCTTCTTTTTTCTGACTGCAATGGGAGTTTTGAAGTTCCTGACAGTGTAATCTATATCCTTTATAGAAAATATTGTGATATATAGTTATGGGCCACCAAGGTATCTGAAATCTAGATTATTAATTAGAAACCTTATATCAAATGACACAAAATACCATTGTTTGTAGCCTATCCATGTTTAGAGGTATTTTATTTACTCTTTGGGTCAGTGGTTCTTGACAAAGAGTATATAAAATGCAGTGCAAACAATTTGTCTATGGTTTTTTTGACGTTTCTGTCTTGGATAGGCTATATGCCATGGTATTTACGCCTATTTGATTTTTCTCCATTTTGGCGCTGATGGTAACGATTGTATGCAGTGGTGAAAATCCAAACTAATAATAAAGGTAGAAATTCAACCAACAGTAATTACAGGCGTTTTTAAATCGGAACCAAACAAAAGCTGTTACATCTTAGAAGCGTCCCGTCCGTATCAATAGAAGTCAGTTTTCAGTGCCTATACCTACTCTTTGCCCTTTCTTTTGAAGTTTGAAAATTCTTTTTCGGTGAGCAATGAGCATTGTTGTTTTTGGAGTATTAAGACTAGAGGTTATAATTATGCAGTGAAAATTGTCTTGTTAAATTAATGTTATCTGATATACTTGGGCTATAGAAATTTTAATTATACTATTATGGCTTCGATTTCAATGGCTCCGGCACCGGGGATGCAGCAGATTGACCTGTCAAAGCTGAATATTGGACAGTTGGCTCAACTTAAACAGCAAGTGGATCATGTAATTTAATTTCATAATATATTACTATGTATTGTATTGAAAGGAACCATAAGTTCTTTAACCTATTACTTATTTTCTTTTAGGATCTTCAAGTCTTCCAAGAGTCTTTACAAGCGCTAAAGATAGCACAAGGCAAATTTGTGGACTCCGGGGAAACTGTTGAGAAGCTAACTCCGTCTACAAAGGGGAAGACCATCCTCGTTCCTCTGACTAGCTCTATGTATGTGTCTGGAACAATAGCAGATACTGAAAATGTTATTATTGATATTGGAACTGGATACTATGTGCAAAAAGTAAGTTATTTATTCTTATAATAAGTTATTTCTTATTGGTAATCATTGCAATATTTGATGTAAATGGAAAATGGAAATGTATTGGAAATTTTATTTTGTAATTTGCTAAAACATAATTTGATATTTATAAATTTTCATGTCCAATTGATTGGTTTTGATCGTAACAAGTATTAAAAGGTGGTAAATGAGCAATTGCCCGTCTGAATTTTTGGTTATAGCAAAGTAATCTTTACCCATAGACATCTGCAATTCCCATCTCCACTTCACTTATCAGATGAAATGTGGAATGACATTCACTTGACACCTGTCTTCTGTGTGGTCATAGTATTTCACTGTTTGAGCCCGACCACTTTTGTAACAAATTTTGTTGCTGACATCTACCATTGTTTAACAGTGTACCATTATAACGAATCTGTGTGTTTGTATGAATGTAATCTGACTGTTACAGGATATTGATGGAGCGAAAGATTATTTCAAACGGAAAGTTGCGTTTGTAACAGAACAGATGGAAAAAATCCAAGTTTTAGGTATAGAGAAGACAAAAGTAAAGGATGCTATTTGCATGATGATGGAAATGAAATTGCAAGCGCAGGCTGAGACCCAGAAAGCCTCATCATCATAATATTTACTGAGAAAACTTAAATGCTTTTATTTAACACTTTGTTAGTCTAACAAACTACAGTCGACAGTTAAATGTGGTTTAGTTGTAACTCAAGTCAAGATAACCTTAGCACTAGTATTGAGTTGAAAGTCGATTTTCTGATTATTCATATTTATTTAATATTATTCTTTGAAAATGAACTGCTCAACACCATGTCAAGTTTTATTATCACAATAACATAATTTTGTTAAAAATCAAAAATTATTAAAATTAACATTGACTTTTATTGTAATTACTCACTATTTTCTTTGTGCAAGTCTGAAATTATATGTGATACCAATACCTTTGCCACATAATCGTTGCAAGAATAGACAATCTTAGGGAAGATATAGATTGCAAATGGAAGGGTCAGAAAAGGCTATCGCTTCAATGGGGATTATTGTCTATTCCAAAATATGTTAACCCTTATGTTCATTTTGTGTAGTATACCATACATAAAATAATTTTTAACTTAGTTTTTAAAGAAATTTTGCCACAATAAGGGTTGATAATTAGACTGATGTAGACTGGGTATTTTTATACTAAGCTTGGGCTTAGCTAGCTGGATAATGTGATGGATGAAATTATAACACTTCACAGGGGACCGAAGAGCTGGCAGCTACCTCGGACAAAGAATTAGTTTAGCTATCCAAAGGGGGAATGCTGCCAGTATCTTCGGAACCTTGCCTAAAAGGACTCTTTTTAATAATGCATTTTAGTAAATTATTCGTTTTCAATATCTTATTTAATATTAGATTTAAGACTTTTCAATAATAGTGAAGATTTTTTTTTAAATTTACTAATGTGACGTAAACCATATTTATCGTATTATATTATTATTGTAAGTACTTTTTTATATTGGGGGAAAACAAAAAGTAAAAAGCGTGTGCGACACCAAATTATTTATTTTCAATAGGCCAAAATGATGCACTGGTATCTACATTATAAGTAGTCGCTTATTATTCTACCTTACTAGTATATATCTACATTATGTCTTATAGTCACAAAATAATATTAACTAAATAAGGCAACGACTATCCCTTAATTTTTTAAACAATTTTTTTTAATATGTAAGTTTTCAAATCAAAATTTTAATTTTACACAATTTTTATTAACTTGAACACTTGATAGGTCGAGGAGGATGCGTAAAATTTAATTTTTAAATATAAAATTTACATGAGTATTAAATTTGTAAACACGTAAGACGCCAACAGACGGCGAAAGCTGTTATACCAAGCTTTTAAAGACATTGCGTAATTGTAACCTGATTGTTCGTCATATTAAACAATAAGAAACAGTATACATCTATATTTACATTATTAATTATAACCAGAGCCTGTTGTTAGTGGCGGGTGTCTATTGATAACAGCACCTTAGCAATAATCGAGTATGTATCAGTAAAAATATTTATATTTTATGTAATCTATTAGAAAGTATTACTAAGATTTCATAAATATGTACATTTTATTTTTACAAATTTACTTAGAATATATTAATTAGTAACAATAGATTTAATTCAATCGGTACAAAGATACAGTAAACGAAGTCCATATCGCCTATGGCGCCACTGAGTTCTTTCAAAACCATTTCTCATTATGATGAAGTTGTATTAAACGTATTTTGAAGCTTCAAACAAATAGATCGCTCGCCTGTTCGGCGAAGTCCTTATCTCAAATGGTGTAGTATTCGGGTGCGAAGTCGTTAGCGAGATTGCTCAAAAAATGGAAGTCTGACGACGAATTGGAGTTTTCCCCGGCCGCTTGCGAGCCGTGCGTTGCTTCGTAGAACTGCTGGAAGGAGCCGTAGCCGTCCGCGCATTCAGCCCCGCTGGGGTAAGCCTCTGTCGGTGCTGGCGGCTGTGAGCCCGCCGGGCCGTACGCCGCCGGAGTGACAGCTGCTTGCTGGCTGTAGTTACTTGCCTCGTTCCATCTACCGTATTCATTAGATGCACTCTTTTGTCCTTCTGCACCGTAGTAACCGTGCGTGTGTTCATGTTGCCCGCTCTCATGGTAATGATAGCCGTAGTGACTGTTTGAGTATGTCATGTGGTCGCCGGGATATCCCTGGGGCTGCTCGTAGCCAGGGTGACCGTATGTCGCTTGCTCCTTGCCATACGCAGTGTAACCGTAGTTTTGATACATCTCATGCGGGTAAGCTTGTCTGCCCACTCCGTTGCTTGGTCTTGTAGACGGAGAAGGTTCTTGAGGTCTAGTGTGTTGCTGACTGCGCGTGTAAGTGTGTTGATCAACACCCTGGAGGGCTGGCCCGTAAGCGTCAAAAGACCTATTGCCTTGAGGGTATTGAGCTAACTTTCCGAACTGTTTCGAATCCATACGAAAATCTGCATGGGGTCCGAATTGGCCTGGTGGTACGTTACCACGTATTACATACGGGGGCATCGCATTAGGCACAGCTTGAGGATGTGGTGCTCCCGGCGGAACGTTCGGTGGCGATGGCCTAGGGTAATGACCGAGAGGACTTTGGTGTATGCCTGAAGGAGTCCCGGGTGTTGAGGATGGCGTTAAGCTTACCGACGAAAATTTGCCGCCGTCCGGCATTCCGCCGAGCACTACCAGACCATCCTTCGAAGAAGACGGTGATACTTTGCAACCCGTCGCATCCAACGACGGTGAACGTTTTCTGGATTCTTGTTTTATTCGTTTCGCCAAGTTTCGCGGTACTGGAGCGAGCGTTGCAGTTGGATGCGCATCTCTAGAGTCATCTTCTGCTAGTTTATCTAGAGAAGACGATGAAGCCACACTCGAAGCGCCGTCACTCGCAAAGCTGTTATTGTTTGTCGCACTGGGCGTATTATTATTCCTCGTTCGCGACGTGAGCTCCGGTAAATCTTCAGTAGGCGAGCATAAGGCCCCTGGTGGTAGCTCACAGCCCTGGCAACTCTTTTTCCCTGAAAGAGGACCATCGTCGTCGAGAAATTTGTCCCGTGCCTTTGAGCTCTTCCCTCCTTCGGACGTTGTTGAATCCTTATCGTCACCGTCTTCACTTTTACTAAGGGTTTGACGTTTATGTTTCATTCGTCTATTTTGAAACCACACTTTGACCTGAAACAAAACGTTAAAACTAAATGATGGGTCGGTCATAATTCTATGCCATATATAAATTATGAAATTTATCAACATGAATGTTTTGGAATGTATGGATATAATGCTGATTTTTTGGACTTTAAGAAATAAATTCTTAGATAATGATGTAATTTATATTCATGATGAGAAGATATAAAAACTATTTACCTGTCGCTCAGTTAGGTCCAGGGATGCTGCTATCTCGATACGTCGGGGTCGACATAGGTATTTATTAAAATGGAATTCCTTTTCTAACTCTAGAAGCTGTGTGTTCGTGTAGGCTGTTCGCAGTCTCCGGGGTAAACCATTTTCTGAAAAAAAAAACAATAATAAGTCAATACTGTATGTTAACTACTTGCAAGTAGGTATACATGTACAGTAGATTTTGTGACGATCAGTTTTGTTCCATGGGTACACTAGTAAAGCGCGAGCAATCATATTTTTAGTTTGAAAATATTTTCTACTACGTAATTAAACTTTAAAAATATTCCATGTAATGCATGTAATTTTCAATAATCGTCGACTTTATCGCGGTCTATATTGAATGTCATGCTTCGTATTAATCTTCTATACTATATGATTCCTGGAAAGTTTAAATAACAGGCTAGCGGCGATCGCGAGCAAGCTTTCCTTTAATGTAATAACTTGATCGCATGTCAGAGAACCGCCCTTGACGCCATTGTGTCGAAACATTATACTTTTTATTTTTTTTATACCACAAATAAGAATTGGAATTCGAAATTCAAATTACAAAAGGGCGGCGAATAATGGGGGGTTAGCGATCGCGTGGCGGGTACTCGGTATATCGTGCATTCGTATAATTATAGTAGTTGTGGTGTATCGTATTTGAACGTAATAAGGGATAGAATGCTTTGCTACGAATGTTGTAGTAACTCGGTCAGTTCGGTGGTGGCGGCGGTTGATTGACGTAATTCGTCAGTTTCGTATTCGCTATTGGCCGGGGGCTGCTGTCAATCAAACTAAACACGAGTCTCGGTTCCACTCGGCTGCATTTTACCGCCCCGCATAACTATCATACGATGTAATGGCGCTGAGTACATAGTTGTCTTAAATGTTTGTTTTAATTATATGTAAAGAATTATTTCTGTAATTTAAGTTGGAATCACTCCTTACACTTTCCATTTTTTTTAACCGAAAGCAGTTTTATATTACCAAATAGAAATATTAAGAATAATATTAAGAAATAGAATTATTACTAACCTAAAATTACTATTGGAATAACTGTCGCCCGTACGCAACTTAACTGCATTAAATTATCATCAGTTAACTAAAATTTGAATTGCGATAGCCCTTGGTCATCTGTTTTAAATATAAGTTCAGGCGTTCTGTTATCGAGAAAAATGTTTTACAGAATTGTATCTATTTATATCATATCTTTAAAAAACAGTGAAATGACAGGATTCACTGCCAATCTTTTCTTCTGTCTCTACCAGACAGGACTATGGCCTAAGCGATTGTAGACGACTCAGCAGAAAGGTAACATGCAAATGTCAAGAAAATTTAATTTAAGATTGAAGAACGACTTAAACTTAAATATTAACGGTGTGTATATACAGTTAATATCACCCTAATATTTTATACCGAACTGTACTTTCTATTATGAATATGTGGGATGCAAGTTGGCTTTGTGTTTTTGCGTTAGCGTAGTAAGAGAGGCGATTATGCGAGCTTGAGAGGTGCCGCGTATAATGTTCGCATTATCTCGATATGCTATCCTTACGCATCACTGAACAACACTATCTTTTGCTAGGGTTGCTACTCTAGAAAAATAAATTATGGTGCAATTGAATTTTTCAAATTTTGGTTAAAAGTGGATTGTAAGAATATGAATTAGGAATTCAAGAATGTTGAACGACTCTTCATGACACGGAAAAAACACAAGGAAGGGCTTCATCTAGAAATAATGATGTGTATGGCATTAACAATAAATATCGGTAAATTATAGCTTTTTCTTTTGTTCATAATATAATTGGTATAATGGAATTGATGATATTGTTTGTTAAAAATGTGAATAAACAATTCAGTAACACACAGATTTTAACACCCGCTTTAGCTAACTTACACAAAAGGGTCTCGCGAGGTTTTAAAATATTAATACAAACCCTTGTTCAGATATAAAACAAGTAGGGTAATAAATGGTTGTAGAACGACGTGTGCTCGTTTAACCCTCTAGCGGCCGGGGTAAGCAGCGGCGAAGATTTACTGCGGATTAGGGTCACTTACATCGGTCAAGTCAGAAGTCGCCTTGTCCGCACTTCATTTGATCATATCGCACAGTTACCCTTGTTTTATTCAATTAAATAATACAATACTACATTGTTTAGAGAAAACAAAATCTTATTTCTTATTTTGGAAAAGAGAGTGACTATCATTTTTTTAAATTCATACTTAAATCTTGAACCTTAAGGTAAAATTAGGGAACATTTTACACCACTGTAATATATTAGCAGTTTGGATTCTAATAATCGCACTGTTGTCATGTCAAATTTGAAAACAAATGAATTAATTAATATTATACTAGACCATATAGGACGCTGGATTTGTTTCTACGTTATAAATACATAATTCCTAGAGCTAGAGTTAAGACGTTAAAGTTAAAGAGGCGATGATCATTTAGTCGACGCGATACGACGTAGTTGTAAACAATTTGCGAAGGACGTGTGCGAAACGAGGCCCGGGCCAAGTTTGAATAATTAATCTTGAGCCGGTAAAGGATTAATGCGGTGGCCAGTTGGCGGTTGGATGCCATTAGAGTACGTTCGATGCCCCTCGCTAAATGCTGCGGTCACATTATTCCTGTCGACCTCTCGAGGTAACATTCGTTTTAGCTCTTTAATTAATTTGCTTGTTTACTCTTTGATTTTGATACAATGTTAGAGGATTAAAAAAGTAAAGTCGCAGTTAATAATTTAAACAAATGAGCAAAGATTGTGAATTTAAATTTTGTTTATTATAACCAAGATTATTTTTCTTCGTCCTATATTCATACATATAATCGTGCTGATGTGTGGTAACGTTCAAACACTACTATGTAATTACGAAAGTCACCAAAGTTATTTACTTCAACGTTAACACTTTAAGGAAAGTAGGTACCTACATAAACAGTAAAAAGCGTGTACCTCTCAGTACCTGTATGTGTCGACTTCTTATGATAAACTGCCAAACATTTATTTTGAATGTTGCCACTGCAACAGAAAAGTTATCAAAGGGGGAAAACGGCAAGAAATATTACGTTATGAGGTGTGAAAGGCATAAATGTAAAAATCCAATATTTCAAGAGCGAAAAAAGTAAATTTTTCCGCCATATCTCGTCGCATTCTCGTTTAGAGCGTTGTACGAGACGTAATGGTGTGAAATAGTTATATTGGGTACCTATATTATATCGGATAATGTAATTCAAATATGTATTCATATGGAAATATAGTTTTATTTTTTCAAGCTTTCCTCCCAAAATATTTCTAAACAATAGGTATGAAAATCATTTGAGGACAGAATGTAGTATCAAGTTAGTTCTCATCATTATAGGTATAATAATTATCAGGAATTAAGAATCCTGAAATTGTCTTAAGCAACAGTACACAACTCGATTTCTATGCTTTACTAATAAATTTTCGTATCCTAGTAAAATATCCCACTAACCTAAGACCTTTATCTCCTTAGTTTGTTTTTCATAATAAAAAAATAAATGTAACAAATACGTTAAATGTACCATTGACTATAACATCGAAGACACTTCAATCGATCATAAGGAGACAGATTTGTATTTTTCCGATTAGCCGAATCGGGGGCCTATTTGACATTGTCACATCAATTATAAGCATGGATTACTGAAGACAGATCCGAGGCGGTTCAATTTGGGAACGGGTGGTTGTTGCTTAGACTCTCAGAGGGGAGACGCTATCAGAATCTGACATAAGATACCATTATCAGTACTAAAAATGGCTGTTTTGTTTATTCGTAGCTTCAAACTGAGCAATTCAAAATGGATATTCGAAAAAGGGACCTTATAATATATAATAACTTTAATATATAAAGGGATTTTAAATAAAAACTTCGCCGTAGTTCGCTAAAGGTCTGAAATTCTTTTAAAAATTATAATGTCGACCTTTTCTATCTTTATTAGGGAGTTGATAATAAAGCTTCGACTCCTTGGAATATGCAAAGTGCTTTAAGACTGGCGGTATTTAATTGCCCTTGAAAGGGGCGACAAAAAATAAACGGCGTAGGATATAAATAACGGTGCACTTTTCATAATCGCAATTGTCGCCGGGAGAATATTTAGTGCGCAGTTAAAGCGGTGCGTTTTAGGGTTACCATGGTTCTTCATTTCATGTATTTTATCAACAGATTATACTACTCATTAGAATAACGACGGGAAAATATTAATACATCACTTTTAAGTAGCCATATTAAATATTTTAGATTTATTATGTTTTACTTTCAATCCATATTTTGAAAAAGTAATCGTCTATTTAAACTCTTTAAAATATGTTATGTAACTATTGTTCTTAAGTTTTGTAGTTAGAATTATATAGAAGAAAAAAACATTCAAATAAATTACAAATTCGTTGTAATAGATCGAAAGTAGAAAGAATATTCATAACCGATATTATTATAAGACAAATTTCTTTAAGTATGGCTGGGTCGTTCGCAAATCACTCTCATTAAAAAATGGTAGCCCTAGCGCAATCCCCGGAGAGAGCGGCGGCGGGAAGGTTAATAGTTGAGGGGCGCAGGATCGCATGAAGACGTCTGCTCGAAAACGTACTGTTTACGAGTTCTTTTCTATTCATTAGTTACTGGACGTCAGGTGATGCAGGGGAAAGATTTCCTTTCTTAACATTTATATGTCAAGTTTCATTTATAATTTCAATTCAATATCTATATCTTTTCCGTGGTCAATTTATAGTTGTTTTGTTCTTATATGTAATTGCATAAGGTAAAGAAATATTAATAGTGACAAAGATTAAGAAAGTTGTTAAATGTTTCGATCTGAGTCCCAAAATGACAATATCTTTTGAGTTCCAACATACTTACTAGGAACTTATGAGAAAATTTCCTTTAAATTCATGTTGTAATATTTGTTAAGCGGTTTTAAAATAAAGAATAGCGGTTATAGGAAGCTAAAAGCCACAAAGAAGCGGGGAAGGCATGGGCGCTTGGAAATAAATTTTATTTATCAAATAAAAAGGATGGCGCGCTCGTTTTTCACCGCGCTGGGGACATTATCGCTTCTTTTAATTATTATCCCGCCGATATTTTATACGACGTTCACTATCACCTCTGCGAC